TCTCTACGGATGTCCTCTTGAATGTAAATTTAAGAACATATAATTTTTATAATTGAATTTGTAAATTATATCAATATCTAGAATCGATTTGGTTAGCACTGTAATATTTTTTGTGTTTCTAATTTGTTGTTGAAAAAATCGGATTGTGGCTTTCTGTGAAGTTTACGTGCGCTAACGGTAATATTGCTAGATCAATAATTTGAATTCATCCTATGATTTTGGTTATTGACAATATACTACTAATAATAAAATAACAAATAACCACCCAAGTTTGAGTAATAACTTATTTTTATTTAATGGAGCGCTTAGACTCTACTTTAAACAAAGTAGCATGCTTTCTGAGAAATGATTGTTTTGATCATTTATCAACATGAATAACAAATACTCATCAGAGGTCTCGAAAGTTCATACTCCTTCGCCATATAAATCCTGCCGATAGTGTATCAGAAATTTAAAAATAAAGAAAGATAAATAGATACCTGATATCCAATTATACCGCGCTTCACTTAAATGTTAAATTATTTATTCTACTTCACACATTCAGGAACATGGAAAAGATGAGTGGAATACGGATAATCTTATTCCCCGAAGGGTACAAATGAACTGCCTGTGTAAAGCCAAGCAGCTGGTGGAAATTATTTTCAAATCATTTGAAAAAAGCAATAAACGCGCCGTTATATAGATCCCATCTAAATCATGGCATCACCTTATGCTTTGGTAATCGAACCACAGATGTCAGCGCTACAGTGAAATTAAAACATACTTTTGGTAAGTTGTTTGCCTTTGATGGAGATATCGTTTTTTTAATTTGCAATTTATTTTACAAGATTTTTATTATATTTCCGAATGGTGATTATATATACTCGTAGTTTGATGCCAAATATAATTTAGTTATAGATATTCATTCAAGGATGTCGCTAACGTGCTGATTCCGATCCGACGTTGCCTTCCTTTCTGAACAGTGGGTCATCTGGGAAAATCGAAGTGACTACTGGTCCAATAAATAAAAGATTTCCGTATCTCATCAGACGCATAATTCACCGTGCATCAAATCTGTTGTTGTTTTATTACTGCATCTTCGAAGATAGCGTTGTCAGTGTGACTGTCAGTTAATATAGAAGCGTCTAAAAATTATATCAGACTCACTCGATTTGAAGTTATGTGACTACTAATCATTAGATGATTTGCCCGGCATATAGTTGGGGTACCGAAACGTAGTTAAAGTTGGTATTTATCAAGTCGAAGCTGATGTCGAAACGACACAAAATACACTAATTAAATATGCTGAGACTGTTGAGCTATGGAGGGTTGTGGGATACTTCAATATTCCCCTTCAGTTGAGACTTCGAGTACTTGGGTTTCATATTTGGGGGTATGAAATAAAATGACAAAATAACTCATTGATGTATTTCAGAGAGCACACGCTGTCCCATCCACTTGCCTGCCATTATCTACCTCGAAGTTTTCATAAATATCATAAAATTAATCATCTGATTTTCTTTTCAATATATCCACTACTTCGTCGGCATCAATTTCAGTCTCATAGTGAGTGTTCATAAGGGCTAAACCGTTCAGTCTGTTTTCACTCGTTGTGTTGCGTTGTGTTTCAGTCTCCTGGGCTTGAAAAAGACCCTTCTGGGGTAGCAGTGGAAACGGGTATGGTAGCCAAAAATTGTAGCAATGTGTGGATATTTGAATATAGTTTTTAGTTTATCTAGGCATTTCAAAGCAGATTTTGGAGTAGTGCATTCTGTGAAGGTACTTGTCAGAACTGCTTTCCATACTTCAAATTCTGCTTTAATCACAGATGTATTTTTTTCGGGGAGCACTGATGAGTCATTTCAATTGCCGCTTCGATTTCAGAATTGGCCGCAAAATTCATAGGTAAAACACTAGATAGTATGCTGATACTTTACGGTGCTCCGCAATCCTCTCAGTCAATTGCTGAATTGTATGTTCAAGGAATGGCATCAATAAATTTATTATAAAATAAGTGCATGTATCCGGTGCAGAAATGTTAGAGCGGTTCAAATACCTTCCGACTATGCAGTTGTTTAGATGGCGACAATGTATAGCTCATGACTATTTGAAGAATCACCAAGCACATCAGAAAGTTTGAAGATCGTGTATAAATCAATTGGACTGCTTCTTGTGCTGTCGGCAGTTCGCCGAGCGGAATGTCCGACCGACTGCACGATCCCAACGCAATTTCGGACATTTGCTCTTGAACATGAGTCAGCAATAGGAAAGTTGAGTGAATGTGCACTAAAGTGTACATAAAGAGCAAGTGAACATTTTTCATGAACATATGTATGGGCACCTTGCAAATATCCGCTCATAGCTGCAGCTCCGTCGTAACGTTGACCAGCTAGATGAGTACAATCAAGTCGATGCTTCTTCAGAGCTGTAGTAATGAGATTTTCGAGGTCGGATCCTGTGACGTCAGTAGTTGGAATGTACTCGAGGAACAACTTCTTAACTTTATGATATCTAACATCTTTTATATCAACACATCGAGACTTACTCCACTTATGCGATGTCAGTCGTTTCATCAGCCAGAATAGCAAATACTTCGGATTTTTTACTTCTTCAATTATCTTATGTTAAAGTCTATCGCCCAAATGCTTATTATTTCATTTAGGATCTGAGGACTTTCTTTTGTGAAGTGGTCAAATGTTCAGAAGGATATTTATCCCCAGACTTAGCCCCGTACCGCAATAGCGCCCTAAAGTTGCCTTCATTTTGTAGCGGTTGGTCAGGATCTGATTCTATGTGGATCCATCCCGAATCAATTTTGCCTCTTAAAGGGGTGCCTTATCTGCCGCAAAAAAAAATTTCTTTTATGATAGGAATTAGTTTTTTCAGTTTTCCTGTTGTTGTCTCTTTTTCTCAGAAGACAACTGTTCAGTGACTGAAAAAGCCTGTGAAGACATAACTTTAAGGAAGTTATCTGATTTTGCATGACTTTTCAAATATTTCTAGAGCCTTTTTTCACTTGCAAAAAGGCTCAATTAAGAGATGACCGATGTGCTGATGGCCGCCTTTACCTTCATCAAGTGAACGTCCCATTACGACGCAAATTCAGAATATGACAACCAAGTAAATCTCTCCAAGGTTATTCTAGAATTTAAACTTTCAAAGATTCATCCACAATTATATCTCGATTGGAGTCAAAACCAACATCGAATTTCGCTACTGGATGACAGGATGACGTAGCACACACGTTGGTTGGTTCCAGACTAAGTGTAGGCACTGTGGACATAGGCAAGGAAGAGAGCGTTGGCGTCACACACTCGATTTTGACGTTCAATACTCTCAATGAGGCTGAAGGCCAGCATTCAAGCTAGTTGTCGGTTTTGTATCCAAATATGCATCTTTACTGAAAACTGCTTGACCACAAAACCCCCTTTGGCTACACCCATGATTTTCACTCATTATTTTTGCAACTATTCATTCTTACTCATTATTTTTCGGGTTAAAAATTTTTATTCGTTTTTTTTCTGAAATGCTCATTTGTATTGTTGCGCTGTTGAGTTAAATATATGTATTCTCGGCTATAAGTTGACCCCACTTTAAGTTTTTTGTAGGACTATAAGGTCTAATATAAAATTCTCTGTTTTCAATACGCATTTCAAAATATATGTATTCATTTTTGATGCAATATCAAATTAGTTTGAGCTATGAAAGTCATTCGTGCACAATGTTTTGTTTATTTTCTCTGTAAGGGCGGAATGCAATCTCTAGATTCAGTGTGAAAAATCTGAACATTAGAAAACAAAACTTTCCAGAAACAAAATCAATACTATGTTTTTGTGAACTGTAATCTCTCAAAAATTTTGGTTACAGTTACAAAATGTGGAATTACGTGAATACTTTGTTCCTACTTGTGTTGCTAGTTGTCATGTTGATCAACTTTGCCATCACAGGTATTTATATTTATCCTTATTTCAGATTTAGTTTGTCTCGAGGCTAAAAACGCGACTTGACTTATCATTTTCCCTTGATGAGTGAAACTTATAGCTATGAGAGGAGATCTTGGTAGATAATTGTAGTTTTGCTAAGCTGTTTAAGCTTTTTAGGGTATATGGGTATATTCACCTTTTGTAATTCAAAGAGGTTATTAAATCTTAGTAGTATTTTTACTTCTTTCCTCCAGTGAGAGTCTGCACATATAGGGTAAATATTATTTTCACCCCAGCCAGCATCATTGTTAAATTGGCGCACCCGGCTGTGGTTTAAGAAAATATATTAGTGTTTAGAATCCAGTTTGACAGCCTGGCAGTCCGCCACTTTCAAAGACAGTCGGATTGTCCGCACAAAATATTCATAATTAGTCATTTTTTTTTCGATCAGGTTTGCGTTGGACTAGAGCTAGAATATTTATATTGTTTGTGCGTACACTTCAGGGCTGGGCGACAACTGTTAGGGAACGGGGAACAAAAACCCTACTATCCTAGTTTTATAAAAACACATTCACAATACCCTGTGCATTTTTCATACATAATTATAAATCGGAAAAGTTTATTCATCATGATTGTACTTGATTTCGAGCTCTGACAATTTACTGGACAATAATCTGCTGACTAATGTTACATTCATCAGTCAGAAGTTTCTGTACGAACAGTCGATTAGTTGTCGATAATTGGTCTAAGCTCTAATCTAGACAGTTAGTGACGCGTCACTGACAGCTAACTGAATAAACTAGGTTATAACTTGTCGCTGACTATCAGATTGCTGATTGTCACCAATTCCCCCCTGAAGACAGCCAGAACAGTATGAAACTATATAATTTGAATGTTCTTTGAATTTTTGAACTATTATAACAAATGAAACAGACGACTTTTCCTGATAGCATTGAATCAATAACTGCAGAAAATTAAAAATCTTAGCTGAGGGCACTTAGTTGCCTAGTCAGTCTTGTTAGAAACTGATTTATCATTATTTGGTTCACACAAATAGTTTGTATTGGAGCTGGCAACGTTGGATCCGTCTCTTGACATCGAATCTGTCAGCTGGCTGTCAGTTGTGCTGTCAGTTCTGGTGTCAAGTTGTTGGTTATGGCGAGCTGCAAGCCAGGAAATAATAATAAAACGGCATTTTTCGGTTATAATGATAATTTTCTATTAAGTGCTAATAATGCATAGGTTACTAAAACCGAGTGGAACACCTCTGCATCATTATCCGGGAATATCATTTTCAAAATTTAGTGAAAATTGGAATCGTACTATGACCGAAAAAACGTGCCTATTATGTAAACGTTCGAGTATTTCAGGAAGTAAGTATCATGTGCCGGCTTTTAGCATAGATAATGTTTATTTTTTATTTAAGGTCAGGTCAGATTGCAGTCCACCAATGTCAATCCGATTGTACAGGCCAAAAACCCTAAAAAGCGGAGAAAGATTAAGAACTATGTAGAACTTCTTGTAGGTAAGCAATCCATAGATAAATTATAACTGAAACATCTAACTGCTGCTTATAGTTTAATGAAAACAGCAGTTATTTTCAAAACCTGTATGCCATCCCATGGTTATTCAACTCTTGGGGCCCTACACAGAATATTACATAATTTAGTTTAGTAATAAAAGGGAAATGTATGCTTGCAATTCGGATTTTTCCTAATCGCAAGTTGTTTATTTCGCCAATCGGCGTCGGGCCTAACCATGACAATTTTTGAAAGTGAAATATATGTTTCTTAGATGTTATATGACATTACATTGCATATTACAGAATACCATGCCATTCATTTCCATTTGCCTGTCCACTATTCTTTGCTTCTGTTATAAGTTGGAAAGTTATATTTTACTGGTCAAATGTTGATGGCAGTTTGGCACAAGGCTAACTGTGCCAAGTATGAAAAAGCTTTGTAGTTTTTAAAGTTTATCCAGTGGTGGCAGGGCTACAGGCAAAATGGGGAAAAAAAAGAAAATTGCTTAATCTTCATTTCTTGACATTTCAGAGGCTCATTTTCACAACAAAAATTTTTAATAGTTAAAAATTGGGGGTTGGAGGTAGTAGTAGGGAGGGGAAGGTATGTCTCAATTTTTTGGCATTGGTTTAATTATTACTTCCAACCTTAGTAATTCTAACATATACAAATATTAGACATGTTTCGCATATGCTCTTTTACCTTAAAGTAATAAATAAATACTTTCAATACATGCAACTTGTTTTATTCTCAATAGATGTAAATTTATTTACAGTACTTTTATATGTACCTATCTAAAGAGGATTTCTTGGAGCCATGTTTATGGGAACTTTCTATGTTATTATTCAATACATTGTTGAATTATGACTGCTGTTTTTTGAGTCATCCTGTATATATAGGTATAAGATTGCTGTTATACTTAACTAATTAATTCTTTATTAAATATAGTACCTAAACCTTGTGATTATTTTGATTTTCAGTTAGACCAAATGCAACATCTCAACAGAAAGCCACCATAAAGAAATTAACTTCCAGTGACTTAAAACTTTTAGCTAGTACGAATCTTAATCTTAGTGAGTTGTATAAATTGAAAGAGCTGTCTGAGACACCAGTGAATACATCTGTAGAACATACATATAATAACTTAAACATTATTGGCAATATTCCTATTACAAATTCAGAGCCCAAATTGGAGTTTATCAATTTAAATGTAGATACTAGGAGTGAAAAAATTGTAGTATGTGAAATACCTAGCTTAACGCCACCTGAGGTAGCTACAACCAAAGTCAAAAATATCTTGCCCTTGGTTGAGGAGGCTATTGAACTTGAAGAAGAGGAGGAACTTAATCAGTAAGTATAATCGTGAAATTATTTCAGTATATTGGACTTGAAGTGGTACCGGAAGCTTATTGCAGTTTTTTTACATTATGTTTCAGTGCTTATAAACAGTAACTATATCTTGTTCCTACATTTATCAGTCGTGGACCATGTTCATTATACAGGGTGGCCAAACACGTGACGTCATAAAAAAAAAATTAGATTCCCCACATCGAGAGGAACCCAAATCACCCCCATATATATGGTCCGATTTTGTTTAGTTTAGGAGTTATGATTTTTTTTCGGATTTTTCGAGAATTTTTGAGTTCTGTGTTTATTTTTACCATAACTTCGTTAATAATTGTGATAAATGCCTGCTTTTTTCACGATTATGTAGCTAAGACCTAAGGCTTAACTATCATATAATCATTCAAGTCATGTAACTAATACTACTTTTTAATTTTTTTCAAAATCTTCGAACATAACAAAAAAGTAAAAAAGTGCAACAACTTTGAACGTTTATAAAAAATTGAAAAAACATGTTCTTACTATTCGTAAGTATCTTAAAAACTTCCTTACGGTATCAGCTATTTACCGTAAAAATTTCATCAACCTAGCTTTACTACATGCTACCGTAATTGTGGCTCAAATAGAACCGAACCCAAAATTGGATAACCCTCTGCTCAATAGAAATTGTTAGTTTCGGAAAAAAAATTTGCAAAAACCACAAAAACACGTTTGATTTTTACTGAACAGCAGATTATTATTCATTTATGTTATTTACAAGAGGTTTTCAAAATGTCTGCCTCTAACAGAAATGCACAGTGTACACCTACGCATGAAATTTTGTTTTAAATCTCTAAATGCTTGTGTGTTGTTTTTCAACACATGTGTCGCTTCTTGAATTTTGTTCCTCAATGAATTTTCATTTGCACATTCTTGGGCGAATGTTATGTCTTTAAAATATCCCCAAACAAAAAAATCAATGGGGTTGAGGTCAGGGGAGCGTGGAGGCCACCGTATCGGTCCGTTTCGTCCGATCCATCTGTCTGGGAACCTTTCGTTTAAGTAGTTTCGCACGATCGTTGCGTTGTGGCATGGTGCACCATCATTCTGGAACACCATGTTCCGTCTGGCTTCCAGGCTTGAATCTTCCATCAATAATGGTAGGCTATTTTCAAGGAAGCTTTTGTAGGCTACCGAATCCAACCTTGACGGCAGTTCAAATGGACCGATAAATTCCATATTGAATATTCCTGACCACATGTTCACACTAAAACGGTGTTGAAATGTCGACGGCCTTGACTGGTGGGGGTTTTCAACAGCCCAAGTATGTAAATTATGGATATTGAATATCCCTGTTCTTTCAAAACGTGACTCGTCAGTCCATAAAATTTTATCAAAAAAATCGGGATCCTCTCGTTGTCTTCGCAGCATTGTCTCGCAGAAATCCACTCTTAACTGGTAATCTGAAGGCATCAACGCTTGAACTCTTTGAACATGATAGGCATGATAACCTTCTTCATGAAGAATATTTTGTATCGATGTTCGTGGTATTCTAAGGTTTTGTGCCATAGATCTCGTACTCGTTGAGGGATTACGGCTAATTTCTTCAAGTACTACTTCTCTGCGATCCGGATCAGCTGTAGGATATCCTTCATTGCTTCCTCGTCCTGGAATGCGGCCTGCCATGAAAGTGTTATGTGTGTTAATAAAAACACGGTGGTCTGGGTAATGCTCAGCTGTACCGGGAACAACTTATACGCCGAGGCGGACCACAACCTGAGCATTACCCAGACCACCGTGTTTTTATTAACACACATAACACTTTCATGGCAGGCCGCATTCCAGGACGAGGAAGCAATGAAGGATATCCTACAGCTGATCCGGATCGCAGAGAAGTAGTACTTGAAGAAATTAGCCGGAATCCCTCAACGAGTACGAGATCTATGGCACAAAACCTTAGAATACCACGAACATCGATACAAAATATTCTTCATGAAGAAGGTTATCATGCCTATCATGTTCAAAGAGTTCAAGCGTTGATGCCTTCAGATTACCAGTTAAGAGTGGATTTCTGCGAGACAATGCTGCGAAGACAACGAGAGGATTCCGATTTTTTTGATAAAATTTTATGGACTGACGAGTCACGTTTTGAAAGAACAGGGATATTCAATATCCATAATTTACATACTTGGGCTGTTGAAAACCCCCACCAGTCAAGGCCGTCGACATTTCAACACCGTTTTAGTGTGAACATGTGGTCAGGAATATTCAATATGGAATTTATCGGTCCATTTGAACTGCCGTCAAGGTTGGATTCGGTAGCCTACAAAAGCTTCCTTGAAAATAGCCTACCATTATTGCTGGAAGATTCAAGCCTGGAAGCCAGACGGAACATGGTGTTCCAGAATGATGGTGCACCATGCCACAACGCAACGATCGTGCGAAACTACTTAAACGAAAGGTTCCCAGACAGATGGATCGGACGAAACGGACCGATACGATGGCCTCCACGCTCCCCTGACCTCAACCCCATTGATTTTTTTGTTTGGGGATATTTTAAAGACATAACATTCGCCCAAGAATGTGCAAATGAAAATTCATTGAGGAACAAAATTCAAGAAGCGACACATGTGTTGAAAAACAACACACAAGCATTTAGAGATTTAAAACAAAATTTCATACGTAGGTGTAGACTGTGCATTTCTGTGAGAGGCAGACATTTTGAAAACCTCTTGTAAATAACATAAATGAATAATAATCTGCTGTTCAGTAAAAATCAAACGTGTTTTTGTGGTTTTTGCAAATTTTTTTTCCGAAACTAACAATTTCTATTGAGCAGAGGGTTATCCAATTTTGGGTTCGGTTCTATTTGAGCCACAATTACGGTAGCATGTAGTAAAGCTAGGTTGATGAAATTTTTACGGTAAATAGCTGATACCGTAAGGAAGTTTTTAAGATACTTACGAATAGTAAGAACATGTTTTTTCAATTTTTTATAAACGTTCAAAGTTGTTGCACTTTTTTACTTTTTTGTTATGTTCGAAGATTTTGAAAAAAATTAAAAAGTAGTATTAGTTACATGACTTGAATGATTATATGATAGTTAAGCCTTAGGTCTTAGCTACATAATCGTGAAAAAAGCAGGCATTTATCACAATTATTAACGAAGTTATGGTAAAAATAAACACAGAACTCAAAAATTCTCGAAAAATCCGAAAAAAAAATCATAACTCCTAAACTAAACAAAATCGGACCATATATATGGGGGTGATTTGGGTTCCTCTCGATGTGGGGAATCTAATTTTTTTTTATGACGTCACGGGTTTGGCCACCCTGTATCTAAATAGGCCAGCATTTTAAGAATTCATGTATCATAAGCTAATGTAAAAAGTAGTACATATAATGTTATAAAAATATCAAATACGTTCTTTTTAGAGTATCTAATATAATACAATTCAAGCATTTGTATCAATTGCTGTTTATCATTAGTAACCATATTGCTTCCTGTCAATATACAACTGTTTTTGTTTTCAGTTTACCAATTATGGTTCATTTTATTATCAGAAATGATATCATGTTACATTTTATCATCACTTCATATTGACAGTAACTGAAGGATAATACAATAAAAATTATTGAATGTGATCAGTTGCACTTGGTAGATAGTAAGTAGATCCTCAGTTGTAATGAAACATATTCTATTTTTCTTTTGGAAAAATGTCTTCAAATTACTGTTTGGATATACCAGATGCTGTGAGGCTAATATGCACTTCTCTAAATTACTCCATTGGTAAACTAAAAACATTCTTAAGGTAAAATTTTTAAAGAAGCATTGTGATCCTTTAACTGGTACATTTAACAATGATAAGATTGTTGAGTTTTGTATTGTATCAGGTCAAAACATAGAGGAAGCTTACACCCTGCATTTGTTGAGGAACATATTCCTGATGTGATTGAAGCCAAAGAAGATTCAGCTGCACCAGTTAAGACTGGGGAAACCAATGCCAAGCATGAAAAAAAATATTGGGAGGAAATTACGTCAAGAACGTTAGCATCCTACATTGAAGTCTGCTGTCATTTGAGGAACCCCCAACGTGGTCTTAATGCACTGGCTTTCTACAGGGCTCGTTCAAAAAGATGTACTACCCAATTTCCATCAGTCAATAATGTCAAAGTTTATAATGTGCTGCTGAAAGGATTTGCACACAAGGGAGACTTTGCCAAAATACAAGAGGTGAGTGATACCAGTCAGACACTCAAACACTACAGATTTCACTCAAAACTTTAAGAAATGCTGGAATAAGACCATTGACAACACACTTGTCTGAGGTTTATTTAGCTAAGAAACATTTTTGTATGATTTTCAGTACTATCAAATTGATTTCCAAATCTCACCTTGAAATACAAAATTGGGTCATATCTAAAAATCATAACTATCACATTTTAATACATGTTTGATCACAAATAAATTCTATCATGCTGTGTAAGTGATCAAAATTTGTTTATTTTTTTCTTGATATTTGAAGGTCCTTCACATCATGACAGAAGAAAAAGTGCAGCTAAATGTACATAGCTTTGTCGCCATATATGAATGTTTAGGTAGAGTAAACTTTAAAGATAATCATTTGAGAGAAATACGAAAGTATGGGAAGGAAGCTCTAGCAAAAGGAATCACATTCCATAAAATGATGAATGAAGGTACTTTCCTTAATGACGAACGAGAAATGGTTCTGAGAAGTATGCAAGCATATGATGCCAAATATTCTACTCTATATGACAAACCAATAGTGTGGTACAACAACCATTTACTCAATCATTTGAATCATGATGCTCAAAAAGATTTTAAAGAGATTCAGTATGAGCCTAACCGGGGTTTATTTACCCCTGAAAGGTTGAAGGAATGTGTTGATAGGCAGATTGAACTGGAAAGAGAGGGATATGTGACAGTTGAAAGCATAGAGGCGAGAGGACCAGTGTCAGAAGAAGTGCAAAGGTTAGTAGACAAGTAAAAAACTTCTCATTCATGGGAGACACATTTTCCGACTAAATTTTATTCATAATCATATTTGTCAGAAGCTCCTTAACATGTTTGGATAGGTTGCTAGGTGGTAACCAGACTCATATTTGTTTAAAAAGACTTAAATAATTGTTTTTGGCTCCAGGAAGTTTCAGGACTTGTTCATCACTCTGAACAAAAAAGCTCCTAAGTAGTTTTCTCTAAATTTGGCGTTTTCGAGTTATAAGCTATTTGAAGTATCAAAAACCATAAAAATGGCCTTGTTCCATGCCTAAAAAGCTTTTTAAAAATGCTGTTTTTGAGGTTGTCAATGTCTAAATTAAAGTTCAAATTTTCCCGACAAGACTGAATATTATTTAGACTTTAGTTTATTTTAATACATTGTTAATAACGTGCTCTGGCCACGCGCATGACCGGAATATTTCCGAGGGATACCAAAAAACCTAAAACTTTGTCTGGATCGAAAGGACAAGTTTTTGATAATTCTCCATGTTTGTTTGACCGAATCAACGTTTGCGTTAATTGTTCTTGAATAACCTAATTAGTGTGAACAAGAACGGGGATAGACTTGATTATTGCTTTTATTTCTTGATAATGTAAATATTGCTATAGCAACTATGTTGCAGACTTGGGTCAAAGTCAAATACTGAAATCCGGTATTCCAATACGAATCCTGAATACTGTTTTTTTAATTGTAATCGAATATTCAAGATTCAAATACAAAGAAAAAAGTATTCGAATACTGCTGTTTTTTATACCTGGGCTTATATAAATATTCCTACTAAAATAACATGCGCACTTTAATTTAAAGAAAACATAAAAAATAAGATTTCTATACACAGCGTCACAGCGAGTTTAGACAAATTAATAGTATAATAAAAAATCCTTTTATTTTTTTCGAATTTTATTGAAAACTAGCTGACCCGACAGTCGTTGTCCTATCTTAGCTGCTGGAATTAATAATAAAAGGGTAAATATATGTAATATAGGTAGTTCTAAGGCGAAGTGTTTGTTCCGCCATGTGGATAGCAAAATACGTTGGCAGCCCCCATCAACTTACCTTGAAAGTAGGCATACAATTATGTGGGAAGAATTTTGTTACGCCAAATGACGTCATTTGAAAGCAATTATTAGGTTTCTTTTAGAACTGAAATTTGGTGTTCCAGTTATATCCTGGTTCAGTTCTAGGATGGTTCGAGAATCGTTCAAGCAGTTCTTGCTTTACTGCCGGGACCATTTTTGAACTGATTTTTCACGCATGCGTATTCCTTCTGCCAATGTCATTAAAAATATTTGACGTGTTTTGCTTTAAATGATGCTCACTTTTTTGCGGTTTGAGGAGTGTTTTTTATTCAAAATTAAAAGAAAAGTAGACAAATGGGTTCAACGCAGATCATTGATTATGATTCGTCATCGTCGTCTGAGTGTGATGATGAACTTGAAGCAGTTACTTCCAACTTATTTTTGCAAGAGCAACTGTTCCGTCCTATACTAACATACAGTTTGTTTAACATTTTAGGCTAGATATTTTTTATCCAGCAAACCAACTTCCAAAAGACCCAGGCCACATGTAGCACTAAACAAAATAATAATTGTTGCCGTAGTCCTCGGTTCAGGCCGAAAATAGCTATTGTATTGCTGGATATGAGTCAAAACATGTATAGAATCTGGCTCATTTCTGGAAACCAATGAATGGGGTGACTCTGGTGGTGGCACCAATGGAGTCAATTTGATCTTTCCACTGACGCAACATAGACCATGGGCTTTATTTTTAAACTTGAAAGCCTTGCAATGTGGACACACAACGTTCACTGGTCCAATAGCAACAATTTGTTGTGAACCATAATCGATTGCTACGTCATAATTGAATGCAGCTCGATTGGGATTAAATGCGGGTAAAATTATAAAGAACACCCAAAAAATCTGCAATGAATTTAAAACATTTTTTTTCCGATATAGGTGAAAATTTAGCAAATCAAGTGTCAAAAGATCAATACAAGTTCCAAAAAGATCGCGAAATTTGTTTGTTTTAGACAAGGTAGAACCGCATGAAGTATACTCTACAATTATGTCAGCTCTAGTGAATAATATATTATTATACTTCTATAATAATATACTCTACCTGATGTAAATAACGGATAATTAAAAAAAGTGTTTTTAGTATATGAAGGCAACTTGATGGAAAATATTGAAGTAGTTATTAACTATTTTCACCCTGATTTTCACCGATATTCCATCCAACATTACGTGCACATTAGATTAATAAGTTGATGTTATAAAAGCTTGCTAAAAATGATAAATTCTTCAATGAATAACCCCATGTTAGTCACAACCGATCAACAAAATTTTACAGGAATATGTGGACAATTTACTATTATTATAGGCATAATATAATGGTACTTGAAAATTATACACATCTGGAACTGGATCGACCATCAATGTATTACAAATTGACTTCAGAGTATTTTTGTGTGCTCCATGGCTCCTAATAAATCTGTATGAATGTGGACTGATTGTATACAATATAGAGCAAAACACTATTGTTTCTGATGAGTAACTGTGTCTGTTCATCAGACTAATAACAAGCTTTAGTTGCTCACAAATAAATTGAATGACAGTGTGGGTCTCTTCATCGGTGAATAGTTCTGTGCTATTTAAAATATTGTGAGCATGGTTGATAGTGGGTCTGAACTGGTCTTTACCTGAATATTCCCTCGAAGCATCTGCATTCTCAGAAAGAACATTCAGAACATCATGCAATGCAAGTTGTGTATATTAGATAATAAAAATGGAGTTTTAATATTACCTGAGTTGAGAACAATTCTTGGGAGTACATATACGTTTTTACATTGAGATCTTTATCAACAATTACAAAGTGAGTTATGATGGGTGCTGGGTTATATTCTAACTTAAACAAAGTAACTTTATCCTGAACAATTTTATGCCACCCATATGCACATTGCCATGAACTAAAAACTGTGAGAAAGTCTGAATAATTTTAAAAACTTGATTTTGGATAGGAGGAATAATCATCAATGCTACTTTGCACTGCTTTACGTAGTTGTTCTTGTTCCCTGCCCCTCAATTTCTCATCTCGGCTTCTTCTGCTTGCTATGTCATTTGAAAGATATTTTGGACAATTTGCAAAGATACTTGGAATTACATCTGCCTTCTATTTTGGATACTTAAGGGGTACAGTAATGGTCCTACCTGTCTTTTCGTCATGGAAGGTGGATTCCCAAATGATGCCGTCCTCAGCGAAGTGCAAATTGCATACTCTGGTGTTTTTTGTGACCACTAAATCACTACGAGGGATTGCATTGAGCCATCTTTTACGACAGTTTTCGTTCAATGGAAACGAAAATTCGTGTACCTTCGGACCCTTCCCGTTATTACCGGCACAATTAGGAACGCAGCACTTGTAAGGCATTTTGAAAACTTAGCTAAACAATCGCGATACACAAATATAAGTTTAAAACATCAATAATTTACATTTTACATAGCACAGAAAGATACATAAGAGAGGCTCGGAATTTGAGCTTAGTTGGCTGTTGGATGTTAGTGGTGTTACTAAGGTTGCCACATATTCTAATTATTAGACTTCACAAGTGACAGATTGAACGTAATATCGAAAATGTATTCTTGACATACTGAGGCAGATCAGAAAGAATAATCACATCATCATTGAAGTTGCGCAGGCTCCGAGTACATCTTGCAAATTCGCCCACAGAGAGGTACAACTAATTAGTAGAGATTTCGATGCTGCTATATCAAATCTAGATATGATAACACCGCAGAGGAATGGTGGCGCTGCTTTCTTGCCAGCCAGCCTGGCGAAACTCTATAAAAACATGCATAGGCCTACTCTGCGTGACGTCACAGGATTTTAACAGCCCAGTTGTTTGAAATACGGATTTTAATACAGAGCCGTACTTGGAATTTCAATTCAACTGAGCAGTGAGTACTTTTTTATTTATGTTTTTACTTGTTCGCCCACGTTTCACCACACATGAGCTTTGTTATATCAAGCGTAGTTGAGTCTGAAAACGAAAACCCCAACTTTGCGGACACCCTGTATAATGAATCTATGTTTTGAGTGTCGTGTATACCCCATCGTTTTGGAAAAGGTATCGTAGTACTAATATATAAATCAGTCGATCGGACAGATATTAACGATTATCGCCCTATATCAGTGGTTTCTAATATAGCAGAAATATTTGCCATGCGCACATAAGGATGCTGGCGGTGTGGCACGGAACTGCGCCGTCAGCAGTGAATGTATTAAAAAAATTTATCTCTTACATGCTATAACCAACTATCGCAAATTTATTAATAACGACCAAAAAATTAAACACAATCACCACACGAGGCATAAACTAAGAGGAATAGTTGTACCTAGACCACGGTATCATTCCTTTATTTAGGTCCAAAATTATACCTGATAATATAAAGGGTCTACACTTTTGGAGTACAATATGTATAATTGCAACATTAACGGTCGATGGACACGCAATGCCTCCTATGGGCCGTTACTTTATAATTGTTGATTCATTCTTTATATTCTGTTTTAGGAGTATATATATATATAATTTTTGTTATACAGGGTGGTCCATAAGTCCTTTGAACTTTCAAATTTGAATAAAATTTAACGGGTGAGCGTGAGCGTCGCGGGCGAGGTGGGGGCAGTATCTTCAGTGTCTGGGAATTCAGTCGCCATGGAGTGTTTCACTGGAGCGGATCGTGCTCTTTGTGTGCGCGCGTTTTATCAAAATAATGATTCGGCAACCATTGCGCGGCGTAAATATCGAGAATACCACAATTTACACAATTTTACAAGTGTCCAACAGCTCAAACGATTAAGAACTGGGTTGCTAAGTTCGAAGAGAGTGGTTCGATGTTAGATAAACAGCGGTGGGGTCGACCAAGGACAACTCGTTATTGAAGAGAAACATTCATACATTGTGGCCACACTCTGTTCGTCAAAATCCTACCAGTCTACTCGTAAGCGTTCCGTGCACTAACGTACCCAGAACATCTTTCAGCGGATTTAAAATTCAGTTAGTGCAGGAATTAAAAGATAATGACGCTATTCAGAGACTAAACTTTGCGAATGAAATGTTGAATCGATTTTCTTCGCTCAATAATGTGTTTGTTCTCGGATGAGGCTCACTTCCATTTAAACGGGCATGTAAATAAACAAAATTGCCGTTATTGGAGCCCCGAAATCCAAGGCGTAACGACATCAGAAGCCCTTACCAGCCCTAAAGTTACAGTTTGGGCTGCTATGTCAGCCCATTGCATCGTAGGCCCTTATTTTTTTGAGGACGACAGAGGTCGCGCATTAACTGTTACTTCGGAGCGGTATGTAGCATGATAGAAGAGTTTTTGACACCAGCTTTGCAGAATTTTCCAGGCTATAATACGCAGACCTGGTTCAACAGGACGGAGCAACTGCCCACACCACCAACACTTCTATGCCCGTCGTCTGTCAACTTTTTTCCAGCAAGTAATTTCTCGAAGAGGAGACATTTCCTGGCCACCACGTAGTCCAGATTGACCCAAATGGACTTCTTTTTATGGGGCTACCTCAAGAGTAAAGTGTACGACACCACTCCGCGATCAGTTGATGTCCTGAAAGGAAATATCCGAAGAGAAATGGCAATCATTACAGTGTTGACTTGCCGCGCACTCATCGACAATTTTAGACGTCGTTTATATGAGTGCCGTGATCGTAATGGATTGCATTTAGACGATGTATTTTGGTTTATCTTCCTTTACAATCATTATCTGAAAACTTACTGACTCAACTTCAGTCACCCTTGATATATATAAAATTTTTTTATTATTTATCTTAATGTAATATTATAGCTTGTAGCTAAATAAACATTTTTATTCTATTCTATAATACCGAGTTTAGTAGAACATAAAAAAATGCCACTGTTGGGATCAAAACGTCTAACTATAAAAGGAATCTTACGCATAAACAGGGTGTTAATAAAGATAAAGACAAAATTTAACCATCGAATCCTTGGACAATTTGAAGACTAAATATTCATATGAACATGGTCCGTAACGGCTTTCGTTTCGAGCTAGAGCACTATCGCTAAAGAAATACAAGTAATGTTCCAAATATTTCTATGAATAATGAAACGTATTTATTGAACAGTTGGTATACCCAGAACCATTCCGTAAACGAATGCATATATGTCATTTCTTGATTACCGAACTGGACCATTATGAATAGTAATCCCAAAACTTAGAAATATTTATAGTCTTAGAATGACCAGACAAGAAAACAAATATTTGACAGCTGTCGAAAACAACTGTAAGTCATGTGATATTCACCACAGGGCATACTTAACTAAAATAAAATACATTCCATTCTTTTATATTTTTTTAAGAACAATGTCAACATTTCTTTTAGTGCTAATATGCTCTATCTTGAAAATAAAATATTTGCGGGCCCATGTTCATATGGAAATTTCGTCTTCAAATTCACCAAGAATGCGATGGTTGAAGTTTGTCTACATACTTTATTAACACCCTGTATATGGTTTGATTCAGCCTGACAAGCATTGAGGACTTTTTTGTATTTCGTTGTTCAAACAAATTTACGCCGGATTAGGCAACTCACAAATATGGTTTATGAAGAAAAAACGCGCTTGCGTATTTTCACCAATTCTAAACAGATTGAATGAAGCTTCAGCAACTTAAGGAATGCACAGTTTTGATCTAGATTCCATCTTTTTATTTTTTCTGTACCAATTAAGGTATCGGACAACCTTGGATGAACATTATAAAATGTGGGAAGAGTCAGCTTTACTAGCGTTCTACCGAGATTTGCAAACTTTGTCTGCTCAAAGAAGTGCTATGAATTTGGAGCCTTATCTAAGGTGTATACCAGTGAAATATATTGTGGCCATTATTGTTGATGAAGCCAAACGTATTGCACAGGGATCTGAAACGTACAGCCCAACAGTCAAAATGCTTTACCAGGACTTGGGAAATAAAGTTTATGCTAGGTAAATTGAAAATATGTGAATATTTTTCCTATGAATTATGATTCACTTTGTTTGAACATTAAACTGTTGATCTTCACATTTTTTGAAAAATGTTTTTTTTCGGCTTCAGGTATACGGTGTTGAGAAAACAAAAAACTGGTGTTCTAGACAAAATAATAGATATTCATACCAAATATTGCCAACAGTATGCAGCGTTACACTCAAAGTTAGACGTTTCACCTGACAAGGAATGTCTAATCAATTCACGACAGATTTGGCAATGGGCTGAGCATAATTTGAAAGATCATGGAGCTACTCTAAAAATGGACCATCAAGAATGGGTACCCACTACATTACAGTTCATTGGAAAATTTCTTTATCACATTATCATGCATGACCTGAAAGTTGACGTGAACAGTCTCAGAAAATCACAGCACAAAAACTACTTGCCAGGTAATATTAATATATTGAGAACTTTGCATAATTTAGAACTCCAATGCAACGATTAGTTATGTCGATAAGTCAATATTTTAGCAGGAAAGGATAACTGCTTGTACTTATTGTGAGTAGTGAATAAGCAAATAAAAAAAATACATAGTCAAAAACAAGCTTTCATTTAGCAGTTTATGAAGATAAATAAAAAATTGAAAATATTTACGAAAGAAAGATGAAAACAAGGTGGAACACGCTTTTATTGAAAACTTGAGAAAAAGTATTTTTAAATTTTAAGTTCACAGTTAAATAAAAGCTTGTTTTTAACAGTGTATGTTTTATTCTATATACTATTTATCTTTTAGTATTTATGATGTCAACTATTTTGTTAATTTCTATATTATTTTTATGTTTCATTAATATGATTCCATTAAACTTTTCACTTTAGTTGTATTATAAAATTTCGGTAGATATAAATAATATAATAAATCGATATTTTGCTGCGATCGCCACATGGAATCACGTTATTTACTTATTGCGTTTCTCACATTAAGCCTTTTCATTTGATACCTATATAATAGCAGTGACCATGGAAATTATAAATCGTCATTTAGCGGAGGCTTCTATATTGAATTTAGAATGACGTCACTTTGCTTATTGTTTCCCCCATCAAACACTTTCATTTGATACCCACAGCATAGGGGTGACTATGGAAACTATAAATCGCCATTTTGTGGTGGCCGCCATATTGGATTTAGTATGACGTCGCTTCGCGTATCGTGTTTCTTTTACCAAGCCCTTTCGTTTGATACCCATGTCATAGGAGTTACGATGGAAATGATGAATCGCAGTTTTGGATCATCCGCCATATTGGATTCAAAATGGCGGCAGGTAATTTATTTTATATTGTCACGCGAATCAAATGGGTTAAGGTTAACTTGTCCAAAATTCAGCTCCAACATTCATCCCACGCATACATATTAACTACCGTACGAGTACAGTCTGCTAAAACCAAAAGTTCTGCCTGAAAAGCAAGCTTGAAATCGCTTTAAAATAAACTAATGTCACATTACTCTTCAAGGTCTTGTAGTGTAAGGTTTTAACTTTAATTTAGATACTTGCCCGCCTGAAAAATTATGATTTTTTACAAAGTTTTTGAGCATTGAATACGGTAACCTAGATCAAATTAGCTTATACAAATTTTTTGAATTAATTACAATTTGTTTCCAATGGACACAGTTTTTTTTTCAGATTTTTGGTATAATTCTTTTGGGATCTCTGACTGTCGAACGCGGAGGTACCACCCGGAGGAACTCGTAGGCGGGGTCAGAATGTGTGCATGTTGAATGCACACGTGTTCCCTCGCCAGAGTCCGTGTAGCGTTCCCTCTTTCCCCTGTATCCCCCTATAGCCCCACAGTACTTAGGCCTTAGGCCTTCGTGGTGGTTGGAGTATGTATATAAAAAAATGCTTCCATTAATTTTTCACTAAAGCTGACCATTTTCGAATTATAAGCGATTTAATGTTTGAAAAGCCCCAAAAGTGGGAATAATCAATGCTCAAAAACTCATTGAAAATCATAATTTTCGAAGCCGCCAACTATTTAAATTAAAGTTTAAACCTTGCTTTAAAAGACCCCGAAGAGTATTTTGAGATTACTTTATTTCAAGCGATTTTTAGCTTTGTCTTTTAGGCCAACATTGACGAACTTTTGTTTTTCGAAAACTGTACCAACCAAGTGCTGCCACCAACAACCTGTGTATACTACTACTATATACCTGTCGACCACCGTCTTTTGGCCCAAGCGTTGCCATCTCTCGGACTGTTGCCGCAGATTATAATTTTTTTTTCCGTCATTGGCAATAATTAAAAGGGGCCTTGAGGGATGATCTCTGAAATATCTAAATATGCAAATGGCTGGACATCTTGGAGAATGTTAATCAATGATATGATATGTTGCGGCTCTGTGTTGCCTATCATATGAGACAGCAGCATTGAATCATTTTGCGTTGGATATATAGAACTTATAAAATAAAAAATAAACACTTAGCTCTCATAAAAACTCCAGTAAAAACAAATGTCTTTTGTTGGCAGCCTTCTACACGATATTTCGATCCCAAAACCTAATAGTAAAAGAGGAAGTAAAACCTCATCCGATTCTATCGAAGCTTTACCGTAATTCCTTACCTGAAACCTTGACTTTCCCTACCTATGAACTACCTATGCTCTGCCCACCCGTTCCTTGGACATCCGTGCACATGGGTGGGTACTTGGTGTCTCCCTGCGAAGTGGTCAGGCTGCCTTATCAGGCCACCACTCAGAAACAGAGGCTGGCCAAGGCTGAGCCTCAGAAACTGTACCCCAGTCTAGACGCACTGAATCAGCTTGCAGCTGTCCCGTGGAAGGTCAATCAAAAGATACTCGATGTTGTCTTGGAGGTAAGTACTGTTTAGATCCATTTTAGACTTAAGTACATATTTACAATACTGTATTGCTATCATACGTCCTTCAATGTTACACCTTTGAATTTCGCTGGTAAGGTTCCCAATAGTTTTGTCTCGTTTTATTAGTCGAGTTCTTGGGGCTGCGTATTCCTTCTTCGTGTCACTTGCACAGTCTATGCCTCCAGCAGGCTCCGCCACCGTGGCAGTTTCCATACTGAGCACACTATCGGTACCCCGCGACAGGCACTCCTGCTCTGCTAATCGCTTCTGTTAATTAGCTGGGTAGTATTTAAATTTTAAATCAAATAAGTTGAATTGCGCCATCCGAGGACGAGAAATATCAGCTATAGAATGAGCAAATCAAAACCTATAGGCCACGTTCTCAAAGGATACAATTAGTGTTCAGCGTAATCGTCAGTTGTCACTCAAAGCAGGTTACAAAGTTATGTATATGACTCTAGCCTGTTGACAAGCTTATGACATTCGTCTCTTGAAAATGTTACTTTAAGTTTGATCTAAATACACTCAAACTTCTCTCAGATTCCTCAACATGAACTTTGTTTCCATTTAATTGTAATGAAATTACTGTTTTTTTTGTTTTACTTGATCGAGTTAGGTTTTCAACAGTGGAGGTTCCTCAAGCTTAGACGTGCCTGAACTGCCTTCATCATTACCGCCTCCACCTCAAATAAGCAATGAAGTAGACAAATTTGAAAGGTACCAATTATTCAAACAGAAGATGCAATATAGAAGAAAGAAGGCTGAGATGTATTCTTTGTGGTGTGACTGCTTATATCGACTTTCATTGGCAAATCATGTGAGTGTAGGCTTTATTTTTGAACGCTTTAGTCATTTTTCATCAGGAGAACTAAATAAAAATGCTGTTAAATATATTGATTCATCGATCACCTTTCTTATACCAAACGATTTTAGGTCAGTTAGAGAGGAAAGCATCGTGAAAAATTGCGATATCCGTGGTTCTTTTAAACCGGTTGTTTCAAAATTCGGCCCTCACTCTAGAGACCCCGAAAACGATAAGAAATACGAAGCCGCTTATTATTTATTTAGTTAACAAAAAGCCACTTAGAAACTTCCGAAATTTTGTACTTCGAGAGAGGTACAGAAAAACCGAATTTTCTCAAAATCGTTTTATTTATAGTTTGAGATCAAAATAAATTGCACTTCAACATTGCACACTTTTTTTCCTCTACAAGGTGGTATAATTAGAATTTCAATATGACGTTTGGTCTCTCGTCCTCAAGCATCAACTTTATTTTTTCTTAAGGACACTATATCGACTTTTTGCACAGGTGAATAGGGTTTTTAATTCTTATTCCAAAAATGTAAACTATGTGATACATTGACATCGCCAAACTTTCTAAGCGGCATTTTGTTAGTTACCTAAATACACAGCTTTGCCCTCATTTAAGCCATTTCGATCTCTTACCGTTTACGAGGTCTTAATGGTGAGGTTCGAAACATCCGGTATATCTAAAAGCACTGCTCGGACTTTGATGAAGCCGAATCATTTCTCTTAGAGAAAGAAAGACAAATTTCCTGAGTCGTTCCGAAACGGCAGAAGTTCCGATATTTTCGAAGTTTCGGAATTTACGAAATTTTTTGGTGGTAATTGTGAAAGACTGATATTATTGCATACCCGACATAATTTATATGATCAAAAGATATGATACATTTAAAGTAATACATCATTTCCAGAATCTTCGTTCCAATAATTTTTTTTTCAGTTTCGGTATGACGTGTTCTGGCTACCGCATAACATGGACTTCAGAGGTAGAGTTTACCCAGTACCTCCTCATCTCAGTCATCTTGGATCTGACGTGGCACGTTCCATGTTGGTTTTTGCCGAACCAAGACCATTGGGACCTGAAGGACTTGATTGGTTGAAAATCCACTTGGTTAACTTGACTGGTCTGAAGAAACGGGACTCTATTAGTGAAAGGTAAGAAATATGAATCTATTTAGGAGATATGATATTGGTAATAATTATTGTCACACACACTGTATGTTTTTGGGGACCTGACTCATCGACTGAAGCAAGTTTTGTCATGTCTTATGACAATAAAATCAGCAATTTTTGAGAAAAAAATTGTTTTGAATAAGTACTTTTACTTCATACTTCGGTCTGAGGCAGTCCCTAACCTCTTTTTTATAATGCTTCTCGAATTTTGTTCATATTTGCGCACACGGATGATTCTATGCTGTTCCTTCAGGAAAACGTTGCAATGGCATGGAGCTGAGCGAAAAACGAAGAGTTTCAGAATGCTCCTGATGGTCCTTTTTGAGTTTTCGATTCGGAAGTAGTAGAAGTAATTTTAGGATGGGGCAACATATTTAAACATTTTCAAATTCGTTTTTCGGTGCTTTACAGCTTTTCGATGACTTTAAGGCATATAAAAAATTATCAGTCTGCTTGATTTCATTTTTTGTTTTAGGTTGGCTTATGCAAATCAGATAATGCACCTGATTTTCGACTCTGCTGATCATCCATTGACTGGTAAACGATGGTGGGCAGAATCTGACGAACCTTGGCAAACATTGGCTTGTTGCATGGAAATCGCTGACGTTGTTAGGTCTCCAGATCCAGAAGCGTATATGTCGCATTTTCCTATCCATCAAGTAAGCTTTGCTAAACTATTTAATTTTCTATGTGGAAAATAGTCTACTGTGATGTCTACAACGTTTGTGCTAAATTAAGCAGTTTCTGCTATATGGGGCAAAAGTGCACATACAGGCGTGTGGTTAAAAATTCAGATTTAAGCTCATGTAATTTTAGTTGCTAAAAAAGACTTTCTTGTACTACTATGTTATTTTGATTTCTGATTCCCTATTTTGTTTTTTTTTATTTCAGGATGGCAGTTGTAATGGGCTTCAGCATTACGCAGCTTTGGGTCGCGACGCTAGTGGTGCCTTCAGTGTGAATTTGGCTTCATCAGATCTACCTCAGGACGTTTACAGTTCTGTGGTTGCCCTCGTAGAAGAACAAAGAGCTAAGGATGCTGAAAATGGCAACGAGGTATGTAGATATCACCTCACTTTTTTACTCCTTCTCAGAGTTTCTAGCCTAGTACATTTTATGGAAAGGACGCTGATTTATTTTTTATTTTCAGATTGCAAAGATCCTGTCAGGATTTGTGAAGAGGAAAGTCATCAAACAGACAATTATGACGACGGTGTACGGTGTCACAAGATTCGGAGCTAGATTGCAAATTGCCAGACAGTTGAAGGATATCGACGATTTTCCAAAAGAATATGTCTGGGCTGCCTCAGCTTACCTTACAGGTATGCATGAAATCTAATAGAGAAGATTAGCTTGGTTGTGAAGTTACTGTAAAAAATGTTATACGAGGCTCCTCTGTCGAGATATACAGGCTCCTATGGCTCTGTTCTGTGTTGCTTTTTCATTCTCACTGAAGCCAAGCGACTGTCAGTCGCATTTTGAGCTTGTGTATATAATAATAATAATAATAATAATAATAATAATAATAATAATAACGCCTTTATTTGTAGTACATGTGAGGGACAAAGATAGCGAAGTTTAACCTAGGCTACTCTTACACTTAACTATCTTTGTCAGTACATTTAGAGCACGATGTAATGTGCGTTGCCTAAGAAATGTCATCAAAAAAATATATAGGTATATATAGTTATAACTAAACTAAACTATAAACTAAAATACACCACAACTATATGCAGTATGTACACGGATGCCCAAATATAAGTATTCATTTACACACACACACACGCACACACACATATATATATCTGAACTTTAGGCAGCAGCGGTGGCCGCAGTAGTAGACTGTTCGGTCTCCTGATCAGTCGCCGTGCGCTGTGCGGGTTCGAGTCTCGTCCCAAAAGAAATTTTTCTCTTGGCTATGGATGTTGTGATTGTCCGTAGGTGGTAGATGGTCTCTGACTGTCGAACGCGGAGGTACCACCCGGCGGTTCTCGTAGGCGGAGCCAGAATGTGTGCATGTTGCATGCACACGTGTTCCCTCGCCAGAGTCCGTGTGGAGTCCCCCCTTTCCCATGTATCCCCCATAGCCCCACGGTACCCAATGGGTGCTTAGGCCTTAGGCCTTCGTGGTAGTTCGAATATAAAATATATATATATATATATATATATATAAAGAGAATATGATCATGCGGAGAAAAGTATATAACAACAAGTAGGAAAATAATGGGCAAAATCCGCAAAAAGGAGGAAAGTGGATTCGAGCAGAAAATAGGATAGGTAACCCGAGAGATACCAACCAGCAGAAATACGTATCGCTCGGGTTACCTACACTATTTTCTGCTCGAATCCACTTTCCTCATTTCTGCGGATTTTGCCCATTATATTTCTACTTTTTGTTATATACCTTTCTCCGCATGATCATTTTCTCTTTGTAGATCATTTGGGCTTGAAGTACCACAGCAAGTGGCTATAACCGGCCGCGTGGTTGTGGTTAGATGTCTCCTTGAAAATTCGAGCCATTTTATACTACAATGTGTAGGTTGGTTGGCTCTTGTTGTGGACTTCGTGTGTCGTTTTTTTCCTCTCCATCTTCGTTTCCTCAGGTTACACCCGTATCCGTAACCAACAGAAATACGTATCGCTCGGGTTGCCTATCCTATTTTCTGCTCGATTCCACTTTCCGCCTTTTTGCGGATTTTGCCCATTATATTCCTACTATATACATATATACACACTACCGCGCAAATATTTTGGGACAGCAACTGTTTTTAAGAGAACTTAAAATAAATAAGGCTCATATGACATTGATTGATTGTTACCATCTATAATTCGACTACTCAAGCTAAAGATGTATAAGAATCAGTGAAACACCACTTTAAAGGGAATAAATGTAAACATCTTTAGAGATGCCGATATTTTTGTTAGTTCATTGCAGTCATAAATCGGCCGATTTATTTCCGCAGCTTACTTTTTTTTTGTACTATGTATTATGTTCGGCGTAATGTGATACATAAATATTCTGAGTATCAATGAAAAAAAGTAAAAATTGTACGTAGTTTAGTATAAACTACTAGTCGATGTGCTAGGGTCAGATTTTTTCTAAATGATGGAAAATGGTAAAGGCGGCTAACGTTTCTCTTGAAAAAACGGGGTGCAGTATGTACCTTACGTGATCAGGGATTGCTAATTCGAGCGATTGCTGAAAAGCTGCGTTTAGGACGGAACACTGTGTCTCAAATTTTGAAGAAAAAGAGAGAAACGTCAGTGCCGCAGATCGTCCACGCTCTGGAAGACGCAGAGTTACAACTGTTCCTGAGGATAGGTTTATAGTAATAAGAAATAAACGAAATAGACATTTAACTTCGCCTGAACTCACACACAGCTTGGACAGAACGAGGGAAAACCCTGTGTTCGTGTCCACGGTAAAACGCCGCTTACAAAGGGCTAACCTTGGAGGATGTGTAGCAGCATGCAAACCACTCCTGCGACCTATACATAAACTCAACCGGTAAGCATGGACTCGAAAACACAAGGATTGGACCACTGACGATTGGAATCGAGTCCTTTGGTCGGATCTCGACGACGACAGTTTGTACGCCGCCAACCCCATAAAAGCATGGCTCCGCAATGTTTGCAGCCACTGTTAAATATGGAGGTGGGAGTGTAATGGTTTGGGGCTGTTTTGTTGGAAAGCGAACAGGAGATTTGGTTCGTATTGAGGGTATAATGCGACAAGAGCAGAATTTATAAATATTGGAAAACCATGCTGTTCCCTCAGGACAAAGGATTGTTGGGAACAATTTTGAATTTCAGCAAGACCACGACCCTGAGCATTCATCTCGACTATGCCGCAACTATTTGGGCCAGCAGCATGAACTTTTTGTAATGAAAATCACGACGTGGCCATCCCAGTCTCCAGATTTGTCTCCTATTGAGTATTAGTGGGATGAATTGGACAGACAGGTGAAGCAACAAGAGCCTACTAGTGCAGGAAGCGTGGGTATCCTTATCACCAACTATTCTTGAAAATTTGATACGTCAGACGTGTCGTGTCTGTAATGCCGTTATTCGGGCTCGTGGTGGACATTTCGATGTATCACGAATTTAAGTTTCAGTGGAAAATAGTTTTTTTTTTTTTTGATTAAACACACTCTATTGTTTGATGTGGTTGGATTTCCCACAAAAAACCTGCTGTCCCAAAACTGTTGAGCGGTAGTGTATATATATATATATATATATATATATATACAGGGTTATCCAAATTAAGTGTCCACCATTAGTAACTTTGTTATTAGTGAAAATACAAAGTTGTTTGAATTAGCAAACTAGTAGCATTTTTAACGCTGGTAAAAATGAGAAATAAAAAAAAACAATTGAGAGTCGTTATTTTGATTTTTTTCAGTAAAATAACATTTTTTAAATGGAAACCCCTGTATATTATATTTGTTTCTGTTAAAGCATCAAATTTTAAACAAAAAAGCTTACAATAACTTTTCTCCTAGGTTACAAATTGTTGAAGTTATGGCCTCCAATCTGAAACAATTAAATTGTATCGACAAACTTTATTTTCAACATCAACTTATAATCTTACAAAATACAATAACAATTTTTTTTAAAGAAGATGCTCGAAAACACCACCTTGTTCTTCAATACATTTTTGGGCACGTTTTTCAACTGCTCGAACTGTCTTAAGTATGGTCCTACCATCTATCTGGGTTATCTTTTCCCTAACTGCAGTCTTTAACGCGTCAAGGTTATCGTACCTTCGCTTGTAAATTTGGTTCTTTAAGTAACCCCACAAGAAGTAATCAAGTGGGTTTATATCTGGTGATCTGGGAGGCCACTGTATTGGGCCATTTGTTCCTATCCACTGATCATTAAAAGTAGTACTTAGAAAATGATAAGTACCTCTGGAGTTGTGGGCAGGTGCGCCATCTTGCTGAAAATGCAGATGATGTCTACTTATAAGATCCAATTCGTCTAAGAAATTAGTCAGAATTTCTGACATAAATTCCACATATCTTTCACCAGTTAGGGTTCCCTCATAAAAGAACGGGCCAACAATTTTTGAACCAATTATACCGCACCAAACGTTGAAACTGAAACGGACTTGTGGGCCTCTTGGATGTACTAACAAAAGATTTTCTCTTGACCAATAATGGTGGTTTTTTCTATTAAACATTCCAGAATTTGAAAAATTTGATTCATCTGTCCATAAAAGGTAACGAAAGTTATTTACATTTTGGCGACAGAAGCTAAGATACCAATGGCAAAAAACAAGTCTTCTCTCTGGATCCCCTGCCAAAAGCGTTTGAACTGGTCGGTACTTATACGGAATAAATTTGTATTTTTTTAAAATCCTTTGAACAGTACCATAACTGAAATTAGAGTCCTTGAGAATATCTGCTATTGAATTCTCACGATAAGCTTCAAAATATCCAATAACTGCAATTTCCGTGGCCTCGCTTATTATGAATTCTTTTTTTGCCCTTGTTTTAGCAAAAACATTTTCGTTGCCCCTAAATTTTCGATAAAGTCTCAGAAAATATCGTTCATACGGTTGAATGCGAGCGGGATATAATTCACTGTAGTATTCTCTTGCTCTCAAGGAGGATTTTCTGCACACTAAATAGCATTCTAACATATCACACTTTTTTTCATGGGAGAACATTTTTCTTTAAATTAATGACACAATAAAGCTTATAAACAAGTATTTACACTAATGTTTGACATTATTTGATTTTATCATTGTTTTCCAAAGCCTTCTAGTTGCGAGTATGTCCAGTTTAACAATTTGTCGCTTATCTTAATGCTGTCAAATCGCGAACGCCATGTTGTTTTCATAGCCGTCTTAATATTATAATACTGCAAATAATTAAAAATATTTATCGTTATTTTGACTTTATTTTTGACTTTAGCGGAAAAGTCATTATGAACTTTTTTGTTTAAAATTTGATGCTTTAACAGAAAAAAATATAATATACAGGGGTTTCCATTTAAAAAAATGTTATTTTACTGAAAAAAATCAAAATAACGACTCTCAATTGTTTTTTTTATTTCTCATTTTTACCAGCGTTAAAAATGCTACTAGTTTGCTAATTCAAACAACTTTGTATTTTCACTAATAACAAAGTTACTAATGGTGGACACTTAATTTGGATAACCTTGTATATATATATATATATGTATATATACCTACCTACACACATATAATATATATATACCTACACACATATAATATATATATATATATATATATAAAGAGAATATGATCATGCGGAGAAAAGTATATAACAACAAGTAGGAAAATAATGGGCAAAATCCGCAAAAAGGAGGAAAGTGGATTCGAGCAGAAAATAGGATAGGTAACCCGAGCGATACGTATTTCTGCTGGTTGGCTTCATCAGGCCCGAAATGAATGCACATATGAAACTACAAAAGTAGATACACATGCCCACACATCCGGATACGGGTGTAACCTGAGGAAACGAAGTTGGAGGGGTAAAAAAACGACACACGAAGTCCACAACAAGAGCCAACCTACACATTGTAGTATAAAATGGCTATACGACCTCGAATTTTCAAGGAGACGTCTAACCGGGCATGTGTATCTACTTTTGTAGTTTCATATGTGCATTCATTTCGGGCCTGATGAAGCCAACCAGCAGAAATACGTATCGCTCGGGTTACCTATCCTATTTTCTGCTCGAATCCACTTTCCTCCTTTTTGCGGATTTTGCCCATTATTTTCCTACTTGTTGTTATATATATATATATATATATACATAAGAAGAGATACTAGACCAATATCAGGTAAATATGTACAAATTGTTTTATGTCATTACGGAAGTTGGCTGAAGACATTTCCTTGTATTTACCTGGTAAAGCCAGTTACCTTATACAGGGTGGTCGTTATGTAAATGGCTGATTTGAATCTTGAATATTTGTGAAATGAAATAAACTCCGTCCATTTTTTCAGCTTACTCTTTCATTGAAACTTAGAAATTATGTATGAAAAATAATACCAAACAAATGTCCGCCTCTAGAAGCCGCGCAAACCTGAGCCCTCTGGATTACATTTTCAATCACTTTTTGGTAGGTTTCAGGAGGAAGATTTTCAATCGCTTCCGGAATATTGATTCAGCTGCTCTTCAGTATTTGGTTTGTTGACATAAAAACTATTTTTCAAAAATATACTTGAAACAAAGTTACGAGCCGTTAAATCCGGTGACCTTGGTGGCCAGTTGACATCACCAAATCGAGAAATTAAACTTCTCGTAAATATTGTTCGCAAAAGATTCATTGTTTAACTAGCTGTGTGACAAGTTGCTCTGTCTGCAAGGAAGTAAAGTCCAATGACACCTCCATACGAAGTATCCCACCAAACTGACTCGTTGATGGATGACACGAGGGTTATCTAATGCCCAGATACGACAATTCTGCTTATTAACAAATCCGTTCATATCAAAGAGAGCTTCATCGCACATTATCAGTTGTCGGTAAAAATCGTTATTTTGGGTATTAAGTTGCAATATTGCTTGACTGAATTGTCGTCGACTTTATGGTCACTGAATTTTAGCGCTCCATGATGAATTGGACACATATGCTATAAAGAACTATTACGGCGCCACCTACTGATATGCGTGTATCAAGAATATCGCGCAAGTTATATCTTGGCCTCCCTGTATTTACTCATTAAAAAGGCATAATATAAACAAACCTTTTCGCTTCTTAAAGGATCTCGTTGAAAGAAAAATCATACTTATTTTACCAAGAAAATCTATCCAGGGGGGTGTCTCGAATCTCGTATTCGAGATTTTTCGCACGAACGTTTCAGCATATTGATATGATTGTTTCGACATAGGTGGCGCGTGCGACATACTCCCTCAAGCGACACCGGAAATGTCTTTTTGTGATTTTGTCATCGTCTGTCACTTTTGTTAAGTTATTTGATTTTAAGGTGGGTTTGAAAAAGGTGGTTAATGACGAAGAAAAAAGTGTTTACCGAACTTGCCATTTGACTGTCGCATGGTCTTAGCTTCGCGAGGTTTCGTGCGGCATTTAGCTATTTTGCATGCGACATTGACCGTTCGACATTCGAGAATACCTCCCATATCAAACAATCAACATATAAATGGCAGTGTAGCCTTGTATATTAGTATACAGGGTGAGTTTTTAGGGCTTGATCGATAATGGTCAACTTTGATAACTTGCACCTCCTCAACTGTTGTTATAGCTAGCTTTTCGAAAGAAAACCTTTATGATCCCATATTTACTGTATTCCCCTTTTCAAATATGTTTTTTTTTGTACGACTGGTGTTTGAGTTACAGCTTACCTTTTTGTAAATCAGGTATCAAGGTAAAATCATTTTTGCATCTGATTGGTTTTAATGGAAAGGGTCATGTGATCCCATCATTGTTTTTTGTACTGTTCGCAATTCGTTAAGTTAAAAAAAACACACTGCATAGTTATGCAGTGTGTTTCAGAAGTTGATAAAAGGTAATTTCCAGTGGCATCTTTTGGGGACTCGTATCTACGTCATAGATGAACTCCACAGGATATTTTTTATATGAACTTCTCGATTATTTTTGCTATTGATCATTTGTGTTGTAGGTCGAACGTTTGATTCATTGCGAACGATGTTCACATCGACACGAGAAATTCAAGATTGGTTCACGGACTGTGCGAAGTTCATCTCTGGTGTCGGTGGACAGCATGTCGAATGGGTTTCTCCCTTGGGGTTACCGATTGTACAGCCATATTTCAAACTTAAGAAGAAAATCCCACAAGAAGGCTTCGCTATAGATAAATATGAGTAAGTTACATCTTTACAGATTTCATGTTTTCCATGACCACAAATATTTATTTTTATTTTCGTGACATGATTTTTATGAATTCAATATTTGGTTGTATAGAAAAAGTAATGGTAATGTTGCCACGCCTTTTTTTATAAACAAGAGGAAATGGTGGTGTGATTCCTCTTTGCTTTTTTTTAAATTAAGAATTAATAAAACACTATACTAAAATTCAGCCCAAGTGAGACCACAACCTCGCAAACTCGAAGCGTGATCAGCGCGTGATCGATGTTCCCGCAGAGGGTTTCATTATAGTTCAGGCATTTTACGGTTTAAAGTTGTAGTTTGAAGCGCTTGCTTTTCCAACTAATAGTTTCATTTCGTAGCTTTTATTTTTCTTTTTTTAAACTTTCCGCCCCTCATATTGATGCTTTTGTTAAATACAATGTCCTGAAGTGGCTCCAATATAAAACTCCATGAATTTGGAAAACATGCAGTTTCGAACATTTTTTAAGACCTAGTTAGACTGTAGCAATACAAAAACCGCCGTTGCGCCGCGTTGATGTCTACAAAAACCAGAGTTGTAATCAGGCCGTGGCGTGGCGTCGAGTGCATCGCTGTTATAAGTTCTCTTATATTATATCTGGTGTTTTTTACCATGTCTTCTACCGACACAGCTGATGAAGGGAGAACTACATTGAGTCCACCCAGGAAACGATCAAGACAAAACCATTTGAGCATCGAAGTGAAAGAAATTATTTTAAATGTTTACAAATGTGAAACGGAGGAAAAACCTGAGCTCAGCGTCAACGATGTTGTGCAGAGGGAGGCGAATAAAGTTGGAGTTTCTCGTGCATCGGTATTTAAAAATATAAATTACGGAATGCATTTGCTGAACCTAAAACGAATCAGAACCGTAAAAGCCAAATTAAAGAAATAGATGATGCTGACAGACATGCGATCAGAAGGAAGGTTCATGAATTCTTTTTCCAGAATGAAATTCCTACAATTGATAAGATTTTGAAAGTAGTGAATGAAGACTCAGATTTGCCGAATTTTAGTAAAACGATGTTCTACAGGCTATTAAAGGAACTCAACTTCGATTGGCAGAAGAGAGGCCGAAACAGTTCATTGATGGATAGAGATGAAATTATACTATGGAGGAGAGAGTATTTGACAAAAATAAAAACATACAGGAGCCAAAACCGTAGAATTTACTGCCTGGACGAGACGTGGATAAATGCTGGCCATACAAAATCAAAAGTTTGGGTGGACCAAACAGTAACGTCAGCAAGAAGAGCGTTTTTAGATAGGCTTTCAACTGGGCTTAAAAACCCTACAGGTAATGCAGACATTCCATTTTAGAAAATCCAACAATAGTTATTAGATAATTTTTCATAGCCAAAGTGATTTTTTACAGCAATGCGAGCGTTGCAGAGACAACATACCTCGTCCGTCACGGAATGTAACACGTTAATTAACAACGTCAGACATTGCGTTGATTTGTAAATTTTTCGATAAGTTTGTCACAGTTGATAATTTTTTAGTTTAATTGATGTTGCCTGTTTCTTTTTGTTTTTTAAGCTAACCAGATTCATCAACAGATTAAATGATGCATTGGTTGACGTGTCCGATATATCTCACCGCATGCATCCCGCTATCATGAGAAACAATATAGCATCGTATATAAAATACAGAAATGTGTCCCTATCTCCGTGGCCTCAGTACTCTTGTGAAAGACATATAATGTACATCCGTATTTAACAAGTTTTATCTTTACCTATAAACAGTAACGGTATAAAGGAAAAAGGCTCATTACACTGATCAACAGCCAAAAAATATCCTAAATAAAATCAACAAAATATTACTATTTTTAATGTGCTAAAATCGGAATGAAACTTATTTTTTCAATATTAGTTCAAGTTTTAGAGATACGGTAATTATATGTGTTCCTGCTGTGACAGTGTTAATATACTGTAATTCACAAGAATGCACGTGATACATTTTTATATTCGGCAAGGAAAGATGATGTAATCGGCATGATTGTGTTACGTTATACATACGTGTACATTATATTGTTTTATATTAGCCATTTTTTCTTCAGTTGGCTGACAGCGTTCATGCAAGATGTCTCGAAAGATCAGTTTTGTTACGTGTGTGGTGATGTGACTTTTGCGTCTCAGAGACGGTCTATTACTCCACTAATAACAAAGGCATATCAGCTTTATTTCGGTTGTAAGCTAGGTGATCAAGACAAACAGTGGTCACCCCACATCTGCTGTAATACATGTGCTTCAAGTCTGAGGAGCTGGTTAAATGGCAAAAAACGGTCTATGCGCTTTGCTGTCCCAATGGTTTGGAGAGAGCCTACAAATCATATTAATGATTGTTACTTTTGCATGGTACCTTGTGTTGGACAAGCCACAGGTATGTCCAAGAAAAAAAAATCGGTTATTAACTACGCAAACATACCATCTGCGATGAGACCTGTGCCCCACAGTGACGAAAATCCTATTCCAAAACCCCCAGAATCCTACATTTGCGAATCAGAAAACGAATCAGATCAGGGCGATCGAGTGATTCGTCAGGAAGAAGATATGCCATCAACGTCAAGAGATCCTGATTTTATACCGAGCACGTCATGCCACCAACCGCACAAAATAACACAGTCAGAATTAAATGATCTTGTAAGAGATTTAGAACCTCCTAAATGTAAGGCAGAGTTACTTGGATCAAGACTGCAGCAGTGGAACTTGTTAGAAGACGATGTTTCGGTATGTGTTTTTCGTAAACGCCACAAAGACTTAGAACCATTTTTCAATATTGAGAATAACTTGGTTTTCTGCAGTAACATTAACGGCTTACTGGCGGCTTTAAGTATAAACTATAACCCAGAAGAATGGAGATTGTTTATAGGCAGTTCAACATTGAGTTTAAAGGCAGTGTTATTGCATATTGGAAATATTTTACCATCTCTTCCTGTAGGGTATGCAGTTCACATGAAAGAATCATATGACAATATGAAGTACCTATTGACATGCAACAAATACGATGAGCACCAATGGCGTATGTGTGTCGAAATATTTTGAAAGATACACAGTTTGAAAACACTTTAACAGGTATTGAAAAAACTGCTTGGAATGATTTCCGTCTTTTGGTCACTAATTTCTTGGGAAATAGAAAAGCTGACAACTATAAAACCCTTGTCAAAAATATGCTGTCATCGTATCAAAAGATGGGCTGTAATATGTCTCTTAAGATACATTTCCTACACTCACACCTGGACGTTTTTCCTGACAATTGCGGAGCCGTAAGTGATGAGCACGGCGAACGTTTTCATCAGGATATTTCAACAATGGAAAAAAGGTACCAGGGAAAGTGGAATCCTTCCATGCTTGCAGACTACTGTTGGACTCCTGGTAGAGATGCTCCAGAAACGATCCATAAAAGAACAGCAAAAGACAGCGCATATAGTGATTCTTATAAGTATATGAATCTTGTTACTTTTTTTAATATATCCTTAAAAATAAAAAGTTTTTTTTCTAAACCGCAACTAATTTTTTTATTTCATTGTCATTTTTGGATTCAGCGCCCCAAAATTAACAAAGAAGTGCACTTTTCCTACAAGATACAATTAAAAAACTAAAATTTGTTGTCCAGTGTTATTTGCCACATCGGGAGTGTAGATGGCTTCGTGAAGGAAGGACTATGGTGTTTTAAATAAAAAAAACCACTGACTACCACGAAGAGATGAATGGTGAAGCATTCGAAAACTGGTTTTTAGGCATTTTACCACGTCTTAAAGACAATTCTGTGGTGGTCCTGGATAATGCTCCGTATCATTCTCGGAAATTAGAAAAAATTCCAAATTCATCTTTAAGAAATCAGAGATACAGGACTGGCTACGTGCAAAAAATATACCTTTTGATACGTTTATGTTGAAATTACAACTTCTAGATCTTGTGAAACAACACAGAGCAAAATATGATAAATATATAGTGGACGAGATGGCAAAAGCGGACAATAAAATGGTACTTCGTTTGCCTCCTTACCACTGTGAGCTCAACCCCATTGAGCTCATATGGGCAGACATAAAGAATTTTGTTGCTGAACACAACACAACATTCAAGTTTTCCGACATGAAAGAGCTGTTCAACCTTGCGTTGCAGAGAATCACACCAGGAAAAAAGGTTAAAATGTGTGAAGCATGTTCAGGAGAAAGTGGAGGTTGCAATGTGGGAGCTAGACAACATAATTGAAAGGCATATTGAACCGCTAATTATCAACATCTATGATGACAGCTCTTCTAGTGAAAGTGAAAAATATTGATGTTGTCAAACACATATGTATAATTACTTTTTGTGCCCCCCTTAACTTTCAATCACCTCTATTGACTCTGTGACAGTAGAGTTGTGTTATTATTTACTGATATCTCTTTTTCAAATATTTAGTTAGTTTTGAGTTCGACCCTGCTCGGTTCTTGTGTCTACGACCATCATGTCAGCGACGCGTGCTGGTTGTTGTGTCTGGTCTCACTTGAAATGGATTCAAGTATATAAATGAAATCTAAGGGTCGGCCAATGCAAAACAGCTGTCTATTGGCGTGCAAATTTAGGTCCTAGCTCAATAAAGCGGAGAGTAGGGGGGTTAAGAGCGCCAGTGACTTAAGATGGATTAAGCCATAAATCCCCGAGGTGTTAATGGGAACTTGTTTTGCCTGACCACCCACACAAAAAAAATAATCTCACAGTAATAACAAAACCTAATTAATTTTACACAGAGAGCCAAATAAAACAAGATATTTAAAAAAGAATCACAAACGCTCAGGTCAAAAACCAGTGGCCAGAAGTGAGCACGTCACAAGGTAGGAACTGCTTGCCTCGTTCCAGAAATTTACGGTATAAAAAAAACCTAGAGAGAGAAAGACTGCTTAAATATCTACTCTCTATTCTCTGTCTGAGACAAAACTATACATTTAAACACTCGAACTTGAAGAAAAAACCATGTACACTTATACAAGAAAAGTAAGTCAAAGGCAATAAATGATAAAAATGTACTAGACTGATATACCCTCAGAAATGTATCCCTTGTTCTAAAATAAAGTTATGGCAGCTCAAAAATCAAAATCATAATCAATGTAAGCCCAAAAGAAGGTGACATGTAGCGACTGCTCCATATTTGAATACGGAAAATGAAAAACAGAATCAAAAGAACACTAAGAATCTCAGTCAGCAAAAATCTATATTTAAATATCTATAAAATACCTAATTAAAATGATATTTTAGCTGTTCACATCAGGGCTTTTTTGTCAACGGAAATCGGTGGCTTCCAGCAAAATCGGCTGTAAACGGCTACAAGGCAGCTACAAAACAAAGCTGGCGGAGTGTGAATAGTGGTTCTCCACAATTTCATTACACTAAAAGGAAGCAGATATTGAACAGACTTCTTCAGGTCATGCATTAATGGACGTGGTCCGATGGTATACAAAAAAGAACTTACCCATTAGAAAATGGACGGTGTAGCACCCAAACCAAACCAACTAAACGTAAGGTACAAAATAAAAGGTTACTACTCCATAATCTGGTGTTTGGGGCTTTAATATCCCAGGATATGGAAATTATTACCAACGAAACGATCCACGCACAACCAAAACCTCAACGCAAGTTTTTTAACAAGCCATCTTGACAGGACAAGAATTTATCTTGATAGGTAAAGAAGGTATCTTGATAGGCAATCAAATATCCGCATACAGATTTTTAAAAGAAGGTATCTTGTTAGGAAAGCAAATATTCCTATACGGCTAGTACGTGCAAAAATCACAAGGTGGCGCTGGTTGGCAGTGGGTGGAACCAACCCTACGAGGGATATTTTATGATGAAATTTCTGAGATAGTCGTTAATAATACATTAGTGTACAAATGATTTCAACACAATACTGAATCGCTGAGAAAGAAAGATATAATTAAGTGTGGAATTATACAATCTATAAACTATGAAATTTTACAAAAGAAAGTCATTAAAAAGGGTTTGGCCTAGGAATCGGCACCCTACCATTAATAAAGAGAAAAAAAATTACTGATAAGTGATATAAATAGCAAACAAAAAAGGTTACGTGATTTTGGCACGTGACAATATTTAAATTGCCGAGCTTTCGAAATGACATTCTGATTCAGCTCGCGAACAATTTAACCGTTTTACTTTTCGTTCTAGGAAACCGAATATGATGAAGCAAAAGAACGCATTCCCTCCAAACTTCATACATTCTCTGGATTCTAGCCATATGATGCTGACCTCTCTCCATTGCGAAAGGGCTGGCGTTACTTTCGTCTCGGTGCATGACTGTTACTGGACTCATCCCTCTACTGTGCATATTATGAACAAGGTAATATTTTTTATTTATTTTATTTTTGTGACCTTCCGAAGCTTCTTTGAACTAAAGTAAAAAATCCAAATCCAATTATTTAGAGATTTATTATGCAAAGGTCTTTGTTTTGTATCTTACAAGCGCCCAAAGGAAATCAACGAATAACTGTTGAATTTTTATTTCATTATTTTCAGATTTGTAGAGAGCAATTCGTGGCTTTACACTCGGAGCCAATTTTACAAGACCTGTCAAACTTCCTGGCTGATAAGTACAGCTATAAAGAAGGGTGAGTTTTTCTGTAGTTGTACATAATTCACCGATGCTTTTTCTTAATGACCACTCATTTTTAAAATTTGTTATAATCGACAAAATACAACTTTAGTGTCTGTGCCGGGACTCACGAGCGTTGGGATAACGCGCGTCGTAGTAGTATCATTAATAGGGAATATTCATGTTTTGACTTTCTACGACATTAGCGTGAAAGTATTGTATACGTAATCGCGAAACATTTCGAAGGTGAGATGTTATGTTTTTTGGATGTTATATCACGAAAAAACGTGTCACTCATTTCCGGCCGCCTGTCTGTCTTTCTGTCCGCTAATCTTGGCTTCCTGTATAACTTGGAAAGTATCGGACGAATTTTCACACAAGGTTATTACTACACCAAGGACGAAAGAACTGTATAGTATAGGTATTTTACGCCTGATTTACACATAGCTTCGCTCATATGCGCCCGCAGGAGGAAAGGGGGAAGGGGCCATCCTTCGATAAGAGATAACTTTTGTGTGAAAGCGTAACTTCGCGAAGCTCTTGATTGTCGTTTTGAGATTAAAAATTCATAAAATAAATTATAGTTTGAAACAACTAAAAAATACGCTCTGATAGCAATTTTTCCAAACAGAAGCTGCAACACAGGCAGAACCCTAAATGCCAGCGCACCTCAGCTGCTATGAGAAGCTCAAAGAAACTTTGTTAATAAGATTTTTTAATCAAAAAGTTGTAAATAATTTTCAAGTATAGGAGAGAATAAGACAAATATAAAAATTAAGATATTAACAAAAAATTCAATTATAGTAAAAAAGAGTGGGGTGCAATTAATTACATTTTCATAATAACTCTAGTTTTGTAACTAGTAACTAAAAAAACAATTCTAAAATTTAACATGAGGCACCCCACGCTTTTTTACTATAATTGAATTTTTTGTTAATAACTTAATTTTCATATTGATCTTACTCCAAATTCATTAGTCATACATACTTGATTGTTGGATTTTCCATGGCAGTAACACAAACTAATTCAAATTCAAATTCAAAATATTTAATATAATTCTAATAAATTCTAATAAACACTTGACAATTATTTTCTACTTTTCAGTCGATTTTCTAAAGCGTGTTCTTCTATTTCTTTAAACTATAATTTATTTTTGATAAATATTTAAAACCGCAATTGTAATGACGTTGATTTAAACGTCGCTTGGCAGAGACGTCACTATCCCCGACATATCATTTTATTGTTTTTTTTGGTGAGGTTACTGACGAATTTTTGACAGACCATCTGTTTCAGTATATATTAATTTCTACAAATAACATCGAAAAGCTGGAACAGCAAACTGACAGGAAAACAATCAATGACAGTGAGAACAAACGCCTACTATGACCAATCCTAATTTAATAATATTTAAGTGTAAAAATTTCCCTGATCCTTTATTTTGGCGAATCTTCGGTGTACTGGGCATTTTTATGCTGCGTCTTAGTTTAACGCCGGCACCTAATAGCAAGTACATTAGTGGTGTCAGGCGTTATACGAAAAACGTTATGCAATATGATTTTTGTTATAGGGAGATCACCGGTGATGGCTCTGTTAGCGATTTAACTAAGAAGAAATTTAATAGGATGCTACGAAAGTTACCGAACACTGGGAATTTTGACATACATCAAGTTTTAAAGTCTGTATATTTCTTTAGCTAATGTAAGCTTACCAGATTGTTAAGTTTGTTGAATATACGTTTTTTACTTTTGAGATCGTTATTTTTGAAGAGCCTTATATCTTACTGCTATATATTTTATAATAGTAAGAAACTTAAATATACGTGAGGGGGTTAAAAATCCCTTCATTTTTGATGATAAGATTATTTTGTTTGGATTAGTTTTTTATATTCCAATATTACGTATTAGATTTGACTTTGTTGAGAAACAAAGCGCCCTTCTCCATGCAGACATTGGGGCTTACTGAAAGGATTTCGCCCAAGGTAGTCATTCAAAATGGTGGACTTTGTGGTGGCTACCGATATACAGCGTCATCTATTGGAGAGTAGTCGAATAAAAATATATTTATCTGTTCACTTTCCTTAAATGATTTTAAGCTAATTCTGTTCATTTTCGACTAGACAAAAAAAAATCGTTTAGTTGGACTACCATGCCATAGATGGCGGTTCTTTGTAAAGTGTTATCACACGTCACACAAAATTTAACTAGTCAAAAAGATCCTTTAGGGGTGGTCGGTCGGGGTTTGGGTGGTTCCTATGGCAACGCATTATCAAAGATCAAGAAACTTAAATTTCCGTGAGGGGGGTTAAAAATCCCCTCATTTTTTTGATGAAAAGATTATCTTGTTTGGATTAGTTTATTATATGTAATTTTATGTATTGATTTGGCTTTGTTGAGAAACATCATAGTCCTACCCCTTGCATGCATTGGGGCAACTGAATGGATTTCAGCAGCCCAAGGTAGTCATTCAAAATGGTGGACTTTGTGGCGGCTACCGATATGCAGCGCCATCTATTGTAGAGTAGCCGAATAAAAAATATATTTTATTACGTATTGATTTGCTTTGCTGAGAAACAACCTTACTGTCAAGCTAATACAAACAAAATAATATTTTATTAAAAAAATAGGGGAAAGTAACCCCTCACGACTATTTTAGTTCGTTAATCTTGGAAATGCGTGAGCATAACAACACCCGCCCGCCCTCACCCGTCAAGATAATTTCACCAGACTATTTTTGTTACACCCACCGCCCCACGCTATTGGCTACTCCCGTCTATATGCTTGTTAAGTAAACACCAGGTTATATGAAGCTTCAAGGTACTGTTTTTAGAGGTCGTTTTAGATATTTTTTGGAGTTTTTTTATTGTTTGATAATGTCAATATTATGCAAGGTGACAAACAAGAAATGAAACAAATGGTTATATCAACATTTTTTATCAACATTATAATATGTACATGATAAATTAAGGCACATTATAAAAATAAACTGGCCTAACTGATATACATCATTAATATATACCCTATTTCACGAGTATCCATCACGCTTTGTAGCGTTTTTTTTGTATGTAAATTAACTTTTTTAAATTAAAAAATATTATGTGTCCTGTGCCGATATGGGGAATTTTGAGATATTACTAGATAATCGCTGTACCGTGATGGATACTCGTGAAATAGGGTGTAGGTATCTAATCTGGTAAAAAATTAAGTACAACATAGTGTGATGGAGAATACATTCTGCTCTAGCTAGACGCTGTATTTGAAAAGTTAATATAAAAAAAACGTCGAATGATTGTGGACACGACTTTAGTTCATATTCATGTTTAGAGTATTTTTTTTTGGTTATGTTGATGAAGCATGGGCTAAGGTTGCCCATAGATTAACTTGTCTTGACCAAACAATTATTCTACGGTACCAAACAACTTAAATAGTCACCAGCAACACTGGAAAAATATTCATGTAGATGTCACAATCGTCAGTTCTTGTTTAAAGTTTAGCCCTGTTGTATTCACCTCAAATACACCCGCCTATGACAAGGACAAAACAAAAATTACAAACAGTCACTTGAGCAAAGAAAAAACAAAAGAACAGAAAGATCATGTACTGGGTGTTCATAAAGTTGAGACTTTCCTTCAAATTTTTTCTTATAACACATGTATTGACCGAGCTGTTAGGTTTTCAAAAATCTATCGTTCCTAACTCGACCATGCGTCCCGAAAAGTGAAAACAGCGTTGAACCTGTCATGCAAGTAAAGAGAGTTGTTTGTTCACAAAGTGAATTCGAAAAAAAAATACATATCTACATAGCAATGACTTGTAGATATGATGTTAGTTTACAGTGAGTGTTTTCAAGAACCTGTTGAGGTTTCGCGACTATAATTAAATCGTTTCTGGAAAGTCCCTATCATGTTCCGCGTACATTTGTTTAACTCGTACAAAGAACTAGAGTCACGGATCGTCTACAGGAACGCCAAAGGGGGAGGAAGGGGCGTATAGTGAAATATAGGACGTCAAGCTTTTTAATCGAACGGCGACGACTCCGACTCGAATTTAGCAGCATCCTGAACCGGTCGGTACTAGAAGTTTCTCAACAAATAAGTGATGAGTACTTTCTTCGTTTTTTTTTCATGTTTCCGCTGCTGTTTCACTCCACCTTAGGGTTGTCATTTTAATCGCAGTTTTCAGAAAAGGAAAGCACAAACTTTCAGAGCATCCCATTGAAAAGTTGTCACAAAGATGTTGTTTTTTTTTACATCGACGCAGCGGCATCTAAATGCCAGTGCATCGCGGCTGCTATGAGGAGTTTAAATAAACTTTGTTAATCCGATTTTTGAAGAGAATTCATGAGCAGCGTACTAATAACCGACTAAGCTCGCAATGGTTGTGGACAAAACCAAATCACACAATCCCAGATCCAACCAAAATGACTTCTTCACAACATCTATATTCCATTATTTCTACTTCCTTTCTGTATCCTTGACAATTAGCACATTTAGGGAACGGTGTGCTTTATTTCAGTGATAATTTTAATGATATGGACACTGACATCAAAATTTACAGTGTTGCCATTAAGTGAATACGTCAATCGTTTCATGTGATAGGAATTTAACCAAGCAATAAAGTATCATATGCCACTTGTTGGAAGCAATTTCATATTTTATTTCAACATCATTGTAACTTTGTGACAACTTTTATATTTCCAGTCGATACCCATATTGCACGTAATAATTAAATTCAATAATGACAGTAAGAAGTAACATAAAAGCTATACTAAGCTTTCAAATCAGATATTCCACTTTTTGCTTAAAATTGATCCACAGCAATAAACTCAAGAATGGTACATTATTCTCAACTGCATTTGTTGAATGTAATTATGATTTGTTTTGGTAAATGAAACGATTTTTACCTTAATTTGTGAATAGCTCTGTAAAATCAGCTCTGTTGATAAAGCAGAGCTTTACAAACAAATATACATACATGTATCTGATAAGAATATCAGCATAAAAAGGTATCTTCTAGTCAATCCCAAAAAACTCAATTAAATCTGAATGCGAATGTATCACAATAAAGCCTTCTGTAAAAAGATATGTTATTCATCTGTATAGAAAAAATAAGATATGGTTCATGAATATCTGAATAAATGATATGAATTTTAATTCTCATGGCTTGATTAATGATAATTTCCAGCAGTCTTAAAGTAAGTATTTTTATAGAATGTATACTGGGAATGTTTAAATGTTGCAAAAATGAGAACATAGAATATATCATAACCTATTACCTTTCATTTTTTTACAAAATATAATAAAGATACTCCGAGTCATCAAGCTTAAAAAACAAGTTTTGAAAAAGTAACACTGAAATCTATTTGTTATCCTGTAAAACAGATTGACAAATGTAATCAACCAAATTCTGATTCCGATAATGCAGTTTGGAGGAAGCATTTATTATTTCAATCAAAGTCAAAGTTACATATTTGATTGATTATAGATTTTGTAAACTCAGTCACCAAATCAGAAAAAAAGACTGCTATTTAGCTACAGCTGTAACTACAGTAAGGTTTTTTATATGATAATGACTAGCGATCATCAATCCTAATAGTCCATTAATTACATTATAGACGCTATGTTTTATAAAAAAGAATGTATAAAATTCCATAACAATACACCTGAAAACCATTTACATTATGTATTAATGGGGAAGTACTATTTAAAAAATCTACTAGTTATAAAGATCTACTGTATAGATACACGGACTAATGTATGGCCGCAAGGTTTACAAAGACGATCTCTAAAGCTCGTAATTCATATACTCCATATAGATAGGTACATTATAGCTTGGAACAGTAGTAGGACAAACAGAAATAACAAAATTGTCATTGGCCTCTACGATCTTTATTTCCAGACAAGTGGAAACTACCGACTGCTCCTTTACAATTCAAAATTTTATTCTGAATCTGCTATGAGCAACAAATAATGTTTCGATTCACTATTGATTTGACAGAAACAGGCAGTTTCCCTATGGAGAGCGGTTAGCGGCTAAATTTTTTGAAATATCGCATAGAGATACGGAACCCAGAAACCCCCAAGTAGGGGTTATATCAATAGATACAGGAGGACAACATAAGTCATAAAATAATATCATCAGAGAAGAAGTAAAACATAGTGTTGCTAGGATTTCTCAAAGGCTGACCAATGGTGATCATGGATTTGACCTTGAAGGTTATGGTCAAGGTCAGGTAATTTTTTAAAAGTCGTATATCTTACGTTACATCCGGAAAATTGACAAGCCGAAACATCTACTATCATGAAGTCCTTCAGCATTTCGAAAACGCAACATTTGAAGGTCATGGACAGAAAAATCTCGCCCCAATTGGGGCGTAATGATAGATGTAGGATATTATTATGACTTGTAATGTTGACCGAGAAGAAGTAATACGTACTGTTGTTAAGATTTATTCCAGAGTGGCCAATTGTTAACATGGATTTGACCATGACAGTGACCTTGAAGGTTATAGCCCAAATCAAGTAGCGATGTGGCTTATTAAACTGAGTGAGAGGTAATGGGTCTTGCTTTAACTGGTCGGGCAGACTTTTTAGGTTTTAGAGGAAGAGGGTAGAAGGAAAGAAAGGAGAGATAAGAGAGGGAAAAGCAGGAAAGAGATCTAAGAGAAAAAATGAAAATGAAGTTGTCATCTCGTCTGAGCGCAACCGTCTTGACAATGCCCCCTGAAAGTATCTAGGTTACCCACACTACCGGCCCCCTCGCCAAGACTTGATGCTGCCCCGAAATCAAACTTTTTCACATGTCTATGTACTATGCAATGACAGAAGGGACCTGAAAAGTCCGTCCATATAAGCTTGATTTGGGCCATAACCTTCAAGGTCACGGACACGGTCAAATCCATGTTCAGTACTGGCCAATCCGGAGTAAATCTTAACAATAGTTCGTGTTAATTCTTATCTGACAATGTTACACGTTACAATAATCTATCAATACGCCCACTTCAGGGTTTTATAGGGGGTCGGATGGGGTGTCCTGATCATGACCTTCAAATGTTGCGTTTTTGAAATTCTCAGGCACTACATCAAAATAGATGTTTCGATTTGTGCATTTTCCTAGTGAAAAGTAAGATTCATGACTTTTAAAAACCATTGGGCAATATTTGAGAAATCCTAGCAACAATGTGATAATTAAATTAAATTAAATCTCTGATAATATTATTTTAAGATATGTTATCCTTCCATATTAATAACCCCTACTTGGGTAGTTTCTGAGTTCCGTATGGGGTAAAAGAGGCATGTCAGGGGGTTGGCCCCATTGGGACTATTGAGCGTTATGTTGAAAACTATTTATGCGAAATATCAACAAATTTAGCCGAAAGCCATTTTCCATAAGCAAACTGCTACAATGGTACTTGTTTCATAATGTTTTGATGATCAGAAAATCTTCACTGAGACTATACATGACAAGTTTCTTCTACCTGTTATTCCTTGTTGTCTTTAACTAATACATTCATACAAGTTCACAGCCTCAATGGCTATTAAATGATGCTTTACATATAATATACAACTCAATTTACATTATATACTTATTTTAAAAAAAAAGTATTTACAATATTTCTATATGAACTACTGACCTTGAGCCAGGTTTCTATTGATATCATTTCAACAAAATGTGAAGGACTGCGTTGACAGCCAAGCCTAGAATATTACTATTACAACTTTAGTGTTTCAGCTTAACAATGTTTTTGACACATTTATTTAAAGTGTGCGATAATTTGTTTTATGTGCATAAGTACGACTTGCAGTCAAACCAAAGTTTTACTGATTGTGGTTTGACCGGCGGTTTTGGTTTTGAGACTTTGATCTCACATTGTCCGGACTGTTGCATTATGACTGAATTTTCTTTAGATCAGAATGCGAAATTGCCGACGAACGTGGTCAAAACGACTGTGAAGAATGTTTTTTACGTTAGGGGGAGTTTCAGGAGTCATATTTGGCAGAATCGCAGGTGCGACAAAAATCGAACTTTTCGATATTGCACATTGTTGCATCGTTCACTCAAACCGAATTTTTTATGTTAGGTTCCGTGCCGCGACGAGCGGTAGTAGTGTTGTTGATTCTCGTTACTTTCGAATATTCGTTACCGTCACTCTTCTACAAAGTAATCATTTATTGTATTCGCCACTTTTATTAATTTGATTACTATGAGCAGTATGAGCATAACGATTTGGCAATTTGCGTCGTGTAACTAATGCAAACATCGTATCTTCAAACTTAAGTCAAAGCGAGACGCGTTATTATAGGATAGGGTGTCATAGGACTCATATGAGCGTAAAAACTGAAAATACTTTGTATTTACTAGAAATGCTTAAAAAGCATGTCTTTTAGTTAGAAAGATGATCTGTATATGGGGAAATTCGGAATGGGAAGTAACTTTTCGAAGCATATCAATTAAGCATGTACCAGTATAAAAAATTCTACGTGAAGCTTAGTCTACACATTGGTGGTCATACATTATAAATGCTTAGCAAAATATGGGACATGTAAACACGAATCAGATTGACATAATATTTATTATTGTGGTGTTCGTGAACGGTGGTGTTACCATATTGTCGCTTTTCTGACTCATAATACTGCTCCAATCCAATCAGCTCCTTATCTCTTTTCAGGTTACCAAGATCACAACATTATTGTTATTATTCCCTCTTATGAGGGAACCTGAGTCACGGTGTAAATAACATAGGTACACACTTATATTTTTTAATTGGCGGAATTTGATAATTGTTTTTAAATTTGGAGTTTCCAGGTTTCCACTCGAACGGGAGATGTCTGGTAACCCTGATGTATGAGCGGCAATGCTTCAGTGATGCCTGAGATAGCAGAAACCAGCGTTGCCGCTCAACGATTATACGCGAACCGGGTACCGATACGGGAAACAGTAATCAAAGTAATGCTAGGATTGATAATCATTACTTCGGGTATCTATGAGTAACGAGTACTCGAGCAACGAATAGTTACTTTTTCAACACCTTTAAGCGGAAACTGAACTGAGGAAAAAATCAAGATCAGACCTTTAGTAACTTTTCCTTAATCCGGGTGAATTGGTGTTTTCTCGGTCAATTGCGTAGCTTGCTGCTGACGTATCTAAATTTGTCGGGAACCCTCCCTGATTATGACAAATCCCAAATTTCCACTTACCTTACGGTAACATTCGGTGTCAAGATAATTCACAGGAAAAACAAAGACGCTTGCATTGAATAAAGTAGTTACGGATTGACGAAGTATTATTTATTATTTTTTTATGTCACCTTCGCAATCTATGAAACAGCTGCACCGATTCTGATAAAATTTCGTAAGCGACATGATGCGGTTTCAAAGTAGGTAATACGAGTGTATATTTGAAAATTATCCAAGTAGCAGCAGTGTTATGAGCAAAAGACAGAACATCTTCAGTTCATTCCCAAGCTTTGCTCTTGTATGCTTTACAATGTTCTGCAGCTTTTTTGACGTGATCAAACAAATTTTAAGTGAGATACCATTCGGAAAACTTGAATTTGTTGTTCCAGATAGCTTCAGGCTACAGAGTAGTTAAAGACATTAGTATGGAGCTCAAAAGTCTTAATCTTTAGCAAGGTGAATTTGTAAGTATGGAAAATTTGAAAATAGGCTATGTGTATGCGCAGAAAGTAGCAATACTAGTTTTTTCACAAAATTTACTAACAAAATCACCCATCAGATGAAGGTGACTTTACCTTTTATTTTGAAGGGCTTTTTTGTACAAGTGTAATCTGGAGGGTCAAAAATAGCATTTATTAGCTATTATCTAGCGATACGTTTTAAGGCTTCAGCTTTTGAGAATTAATACCTTGGGGTACCGCCTAAAAATTTGCGTGAGATTATAAATGAGATTACGAGTTTTTTCTTATACACTCGGGACCCCTGTAACCCGGGATCATGTATCATTGCTACGGCTGATCTCTTACGCCTCTGTTCTCGGTACAGCGCTAAATTGTCGGGCTTGTCCCATAACACCTTAAAAATACAGAGCTGTCCCATTATTTTTGTTATAACCGGTATGACATGAAATCAATATCACGTAAAAAATCATGCCCCGCCACAAATAACTGTCCGACTGGTTGCCGAGATCTTCACGGGATCCAGGCATCACAGTATAGGCTTTATCAGAAGTGCCGCGGTCAAAGCTTAACAGTGGAAAGCACCAAACACGAAAATTCAAAACTAAATTTGTATGTTGCCGAGATCTTATACAATTTGCGACTTTAGGAGTTATGTATACGTATGATATGTAATTTTCAATACTGAAGCTAAATTGTTCTACTTCATTCGTATACGATTTTCATCTACTAGAAATGCGAAATATTTTGAACACATTCTGAAAAATTGACTGTCAACTCATTCCTTCACCACCCACACTTTACTATCACTAACCCATTTTCCCCACTTTTTTCCTTGTCCATCATGAGAGTTTTCTAGCGTCATAGTTTTCCAACAGCCACTTCTGTCTGTCATTGTTTCTGTCGCAGTACTCCATTACGAGCTTGGAGTGCTGCTGGTTGACAGCGAGACACTTCTCGCCGCTCATGTGTTTCAGCAGTTTGCTGTTTGGGTCGTACTGCCAGTATTGATTACCCTTACCGCCATGGCAAGGGTACAGGATCACATCTTGGCCGCTGTAATCAAGACAGGCTTCATCGCGACGAATCTCGCCGTTCTTGCTGAACATCCAGTACTAGAAGAAAGAAAAAACATTTTTTCAGAACTCTATTCGAAAACTATTCTATTCATTCAGATAAACCAGATAAGGACATTTTTAACTGTTAGTATTAGTGTTGTAAGAACATAATTGAAGTGCTGTAAGATGCGGAGTTACGTAATTAATAAAATTCCTGATAACTTTATTAATTCACGCATTTTAACGGTTTAGAACATCACAAAGTGGGATATAACTCACTCGTCCTTTTGGCCTACGTGAGTTTTGATTTTGTGCGATTCCGAGATCATGCGTATTGTGTCGAAAAGTACGATGAAGAAATTAAATTGACCTTAGTGGTCTCAGTCGTTTAAAAGTATCGTGTGCCCTTTCGTGAACGTGCGAGACGCGCGGTTAGCCATCTCCGGATAGATGCCTTGCAGAACATGTATTTGTCGTAAAAGCGAAATGACAGTGAGATATCCAGCTTGATGTTTGACATGAGCATTGAGCAGGATGTTATATGAGTAGTCTAATCATATTAGCAAATTTCTCCGAAATAATTGTAAAGTCTGGTTTTATTGGTGCAAGTTGTTCAAGGGGGTATTTAAAACATGGACGCATAAAATGGGTACACCAATTTTTGTGGGAAAACTTTTTCTTTGACAACAAAGAATGAGAAAAAGTATTTTTTCGGATTCAATCAAGTGTTGACAGAAACGAAAATACTTTTCATATAAAATTTTTAGGTATTTATGACACTTACAGAACGAGACGACACGTGAAAAGATCCGACTAGTAGCGAAAATGCAGCTTTTGGCACTTGTTGGTAATTTGACGACAGTTTCACGCAACTACTTGAAATTCTTCAAATCCGTAGGATTCGTACTTCTAAATAACAACAACAAAATTGGAGTATATTGGTCAAGTAGTTTTTTGAGAATTTTTAATTGTTTCTCCCAAAACACCTGCTTTCCGGCAATCACTATTAGTTTATTGAACAATAATACAGGGTTCGCTTAAAGAGCAAAATACACATGTGTACCTTGCCAATATGAATCACAAACCATTCCGAAAGGTTAATGTTATTTTTATGCGAAAAACAAAGGTTACGTTTTTTTGTTCTAAACATATTCAAACATTTCGTATTTGTGAGTAATTGAACAACTGCGTTAGAATATTCGAAAAACATACGTTACTGTACACATTTTAAAACGAAGCGGATGTGTCTATCATCTATTGTTGCGAATTACTCACAAAGACGAAATGTTTAAATTTGTTTAGAAGGAAAAACGTAACCCATCCGGAATGGTTTGCGATTCATATCGCAAGGTAAACTAGTGTGTTTTGCTATAAAATGCCCTTTGAACTAACACTGTATATTGCTCAATAAACTAGTAGTGGTGATAGGAAAACAGTTGCTTTGGGATAAACAATTAGCAATTCTTAAAAACTACTTGACCAATCTACTCCAATTTAGTTGTGCTTATTAACAAGTCCGAATTTGAAAAATTTCAAATATCTGCGAGAAACCGTCGTCGCAAAACCTGCAGTTTGTCTCGGTTTTCGGCCATAACGTTTTTGCTATTGATCGTATCTTTTTACACGAGGTCTCATTTTGTAGGTCTCTTAAATACCTAAAAATCTCATAAGAAGAGTTTTTTCGTTTCTGCCAACACTTTCCATTGAATCCCAAAAAAACACGTTTTCTCATTCTTTGTTGTCGAATAAAAAGTTTTCCCACAAAAATTGGTATACCCATTTTATGCGTCCAGGTTTTGAATATCCCCTCGAGCAACTTGCACCAATAAAACCAGACTTTACAATTATTTCACAAACGAGGGGTGTTTTCGTCTAATATGATTAGACTAGAGTGAGTTTATGGAATGATAATTGTGACTGGATAAAGATAAAGAGGAGTTGGGACACTGACAAGGTTGATATAGAGAGATGCGGCAAAGAACTATATGATCATAGAGCGAGGCTTATGAGGAAGGACACTGGTAAGACTGATGTGCAGCCAGGTAATAGTGAAAAACGGCAGGTTCTGCTAAAAACTTAAATCGTTGAGACCTGTATGCAGCTTATAAGTAAAAAAAAATAAATGGGGCCAACCTCTGGCATGAGATTTGCACCTAGCGGGATTTCAAATCAGAGGTAAGGGTTGCGTCACGTGGCAGGAATGCAGACCAAAATCAGTAGTGTAAGGTGTGGGGCAGTGAGGCAGTAAGTCCCTGAAAGGTGTGCACTTCTGCGGGCGGAAAGTTGGCGCGGATCTATAGGTTTGTTCTATAGGGGTGCCCTGATAATGAGCTCAAATTGAGTATTAAGTTGGTCAACTAAATTTGATCGTTGGATATCGTTTGTACATTGCCAGGTCATGCCTATTTGCACGTGGTAGTAGTGCAGGCAGAATCAGGTACACGCTGGAATGATACTGCGGGTGGTCCTTGGGATAGCAGTATGATTCTGAGACCTGCATTCTGCGGGCGGGTATTTGGCATATGGCCAGTTCCACAGGTAAGCGGCTAGTGGCATGTGATTTACAACTACTACTGGCCCATAAATTTATATGGGTTTAAGTATTATATTTCAATTGGCATTCGATGATCATTGAAGCTATGCGTTTTTATTTTCTTATTTCATGTCCATCTATATTACTTTTACAAATTTTATTCATATGTATTCTTTAGGATTAAAAAAGCAGAATGGTCCCATTCATGACGCGGAATTTCCAGTGGAGCGGGTGGAACGCTTTTCATAATCTGATCAACTGTTATGGAGCCCTTCAACATTGACAATGTATTTATGATTATTGGTTTCAAGTGTTTACATCTGGTATGTGTTTTGTTTATTCTCGAGGGAAAACCAAGTAAAAAAATGTCGGGATCCTTTCGGAGCGTCGACGGCGCGACGACACCGATCAGATACTCGGCGTCGAGCGAAAAGGCGGTATGGTTCGACCCGTCGCACAGTGTGGCATAATACCTCAAAAGTTGGTATTAATTCAAAAAATCAAGTGCTGTAATCACGTTCGCTCTGTTGACAGTTATATTACCGACATTCCAGCGCTTACTGCAACGAAAGTATCTTCTCTGATAAGGTGCCCTTACTATCTCAGCACACTCTTGAAAAAGGCATCTTCCATAGTGCACGCGTACTATTCGTTAAGTCGTTAGTTTCTGTCTATATTAAAAAATTATTGTGGATGTGGTAAATCATTTTCAGATTTTAAATGTTTCAGATGGAGATGTCAGCTGTAGGTGTGTCGTGTATTTTCATAATCATCACTCGTTTAAATTGAGTATTCACAATGAATTATAACGCTTAGAAGTCATCATTGTAATATTTCAGAAGAATATTGCTTTTCTCAGAAACATGCATGCTATTTTTTTTGCGATTTCGGACTGAAATAGGATTATTGATACTGACCTAATAACGTTTACTTTACTTTTATTAACTTTAGTAACTTTGATTTCTCTTGGTTCTGGGACCTAGTCGTACCAAATACTTAAAAACATCCCAAAGGAGGCTTTGGAACTCTTAGAGGTTCCGATTGTTGCTGAGTACCAAAGAAAAGAATAACGCGATGATGACGATGAAAACGAAGAATCATTAATGTCATATTCTGTTAATGATTTATGCTGATATGTATTGATCCACAAAGAAATTATTATTAAACTTCTTATGATTATACCGTGATCTAAAATGAAAAGCAATGTTCGGTTTGCTTATATATATATATATATATACAGGGTGACTTCGAAGTTGAGTCATTTATTTTAACAGTGAGTAGATCTGATCAAAAGAAATGTTTTTTTCCTTTAACATTTTTCTAGTGAAATTAAAGTAACAAAGTTATAGCCCTTTAGAAGTTTGAGTACCGCCCTGTCTCAATAATAATATTATGTGCTCGTGTTTGGCAACAACGGATATAATCCCCCTTATCGGTTCATCGCATCGGAAACAAAAAAGCGAAAGAATTTGAAACGCTTATCGCGATGTTTTAGTTTATTCAGTTGTATTCAGACAATGTGTCAGTCGGTAACGCGTGAGTGAATAGTGGTGTTTGTTGCGTGGCTCAAACGAAATAAAAAATTGCACATGTTTACGAAAATGCTGAACTTGTGGACATGATTCTTATTTACAAAATGCTGCCGCGGCATCACGGATTTATGCGGATCGGTTTCCCAATCGAGTGCAACCAACCCCTTGTGCCTTTGTTAATGTAGTACAAAGGGCTCGTGAATCAGGTGACTGATGCCGGCATGCCCTCACAGGGGAGGGCATGCCGGTGAAATACTTGTCGGGAGGATACTTTATAAAACAAGGTAACATTTTTTTTTTAATTTTTATTTTATTTTTACACACATATTTTGGTTTATCTTTCCTCTACAATCATTATCTGAAAATTATTGACTCAACTTCAAAGTCACCCTGTATATATAAAAAGAAAATGATCATGCGGAGAAAGGTATGTAACAAAAAATAGGAAAATAATGGGCAAAATCCGCAAAAGAAGGAAAGTGGATTCGAGCAGAAAATAGGATAGATAACCCGAGCGATACGTATTTCTGCTGGTTGGCTTCTTCAGGCCCGAAATGAATGCCCATATGCAACTACAAAGGTAGATACACATGCTCATACATCCAGATACGGGTGTAACCTGAGGAAACAAAGATGAGAGGGAAAAAAATCACACACGAAGTCCACAACAAGAGCCAACCAACACATTGTAGTATAAAATGGCTAGAATACCTCGAATTTTCAAGGCGACATCTAACCACAACCACGCAAAAATGATCATTTTCTTTTTGTAGATCCTTTGGGCTTGAAGTACCACAGCAAGTGGCTATAACCGGCCGGCGAGATCTGCGTGAGCTCTCATTTCCTTTAAAAGGTTACTATATCACTTTTAGTATACGTTTCATGACTATTGGGAATTCATACCAATTTTTAAGGTATGCTGCCCCACTGTGCGTCGGAGCTTTGTAATTAATAAAATTCCCGATAATTTTATAAATTCACTCATTTTAACG